ATTTTAAAACACAAAATAAAATTTTAACAAAAAATTCTAACTTAAATGAATTTTATAGAAATGCAAAAATAAAAATTGTAAAAGAAGAAGACGATTTTATAATGAAAAATTCACAATGGAAACTTCATCAAATTTTGAGTTTGGGAATAAATATAAATAAATATGTTCCTTTTAAGGGTTCTTCATATATTCCATTACCTAAACATATTAAAGATAAACATGCTATTATAAATGTTAAAAATAAAGATGATAAATGTTTTCTTTGGGCAGTACTCTCTGCTTTACATCCTGTTGAAAAAGATGCGCAAAGAGTAACTAAATATATTCCTTTTAAAAATGAATTTGATAAAGAATTTAAAGATATTGAATTTCCGGTAAAAACCACAGACGTTCAGAAATTTGTTAAAAGAACAAAAGATATTTCTATTAATATTTATTGTTTAGATAAAAAAGTAATTGTACCTTTACAAGTAAGTAATATCGAAAAACTAATCATATAGATTTATTATATTTAACAGTGGATGATAATATGAATAAAGGACATTATTGTTGGATTAAAGATTTATGGAAACTAGTAGGAAGTCAAGTTACAAAAGATGGTCATAAAAGATTTTTGTGTAAAATGTGTTTAAATAGTTTTGATACAGAAAATAAGTTAAATGATCATAAACATTATTGTGCTAATATTAAAGACAATATTAAATATTATAAAAAAGAATTAAATTTTATGAAGATAAACTTAAAAAAGAATTAGAAAATAAAAATAAAAATATGCGAAAAGTTCAGGATCATGACCATTTAACTGGAGAATATAGAGGAGCAGCACATTCTATCTGTAATCTTAACTACCAAAATCCACGTTTTATTCCAATTGCTTTTCATAATCTTTCAGGTTATGATGCTCATCTATTTATAAAAGAATTTGGAAACGATAATGAAAGAATAAAATTGATCCCAAATAATGAGGAAAAATATAATTCTTTTTCAAAAATGATGTCACGTGTAGTAATTAGGAAAGGTAAAAACATAAAAATATGTACAGAATTAAGATTTATAGATTCATTCAAATTTTTACCTAGTTCTTTAGAAAAGTTAACAAATAATTTAAGAAATGATTCGAAATTAAATTAAAAAAATAAATTTAAAGAACTTAGTAAATATTTTCCTGAAGAACATTTAGATTTAGTTACTAGAAAGTTAGCATATCCCTATGAGTATATGGATTGTGAAGAAAAATTTAATGAAACATGTTTACCTCCTATTGAAAAATTGTATAGTTCTCTCACAGATAAAAATATAACTAAAGAGGAATATGAAAACTCACAGAAAATTTGGAAAGTGTTTAATATACAAAATATGCGTGAATTCACTAGTTTATATAATAAGATCGATGTTTTATTATTAACAGATATAATAGAAAATTTTAGAGATATTTCTTTAAAAAATTATAAATTAGATCCTATGTGGTATTACACAACACCAGGCTTTGCGTGGGATTGCATGTTAAGAATGACAAATGTAAAATTAGATTTATTAACAGATATAGATCAAATATTGATGTTTGAATCTGGAATCAGAGGTGGCTTATCTCAATGCAGTCAAAGATATTCAAAAGCAAATAATAAATACATGGGAGATAAATTTTAAAAAAAGGAGGAATCAATATTTTTAGAATACTTAGATGCAAATAATCTTTATGGTTGGGCAATGAGTAAATATTTGCCTACTGGAGATTTCAAATGGATTGATAATCTGAATGATTTTGATGTAATGAATATTTCTGATAAATCACGTAAAGGTTATATTTTAGAAGTTGATTTATCTTACCCTAAAGAACTTCATGATCTACATTCAGATTTCCCTTTAGCACCAGAAAGACATTTTGATAACAAACAACTCCCAAAATTATTAACAACTTTGTATGATAAGAAAAAATATATAATACATTATGAAACATTAAAATTATATATTAATTTAGGTTTAAAGATAGAGAAAATTCATAGAGTATTAGAATTTAGTCAATCTCCTTGGTTAAAAGTTTATATTGATTTTAATACTAATCTTAGATCAGAAGCTAAGAATGAGTTTGAAAAAGAATTTTTCAAATTAATGAATAATAGTGTTTATGGACGTACTATGATGAATGTTCGAAATCATGTTGATATAAAATTATGTTCTAATGCAGCCCAACTAGAAAATTTAATTACAAAACCAAATTTTGATCGAAGAACAATTTTTACAGAAAATTTAGCTGCAGTACATATGAAAAGAACACAAATCACTTTCAAACAACCTATATATATAGGAATGTGTATATTAGATTTATCTAAAATGTTAATGTATGATTTTTATTATAATATTATAAAGAAAAAATATGGAAATAAAGTTAGTTTGTTATATACAGATACAGATTCACTTACATTAAAAATAAAAACTAATGATTTCTATCAAGATATGAAAATTATGTTAGATCATTTTGACACTTCAGATTATCCAAAAGATAATATTTATGGTTTACCTTTAGTTAACAAAAAAGTTTTAGGCAAGTTTAAAGATAAATTAAATGGAAAAATAATGACTGAATTTATAGGTTTAAGATCTAAATTATATTCACATCGAATCTTAGATACTGAAAAAGAAATTAAAAAAGCTAAAGGTGTTAAAAAAAATGTTGTAGAAAATAAATTATGTTTCAATGATTTTGAAAAATGTTTACTAACAAAAGAATCAAAATATGTTAAACAAAATTTATTTAGAACTAAGAAACATGATATTTTTACTGTAGAACAAAACAAAAAAGCTTTAAGTGTTTATGATGATAAAAGATTTATTTTGGAAAATGGTATTGATACATTAGCTTGGGGACATTATAAAACAAACATAGATAGAAACGATTTTGTAAACCATCTCAATACACTGATTAGAAATCAAAATCACAAAGATTAGAAAAATATTTTTAATAGAACAATGTTAAAAAAAAAATGTTTACTAATATAAATTATAGAAATGGAAAATTGTAAAAAACTTTTAGATATGATCCAAAAGTATAAAAGTATACTAAAAATGTTATCAGAAATTGAATCATCTATGTATAGTTTAGAAACTCATGTATTATTTTTATATGATGATGATGATGACAAAAAAATTTTTAAGCAATTAATTGGTTATTTTAAGGAAACTCATAATGAATTATCGGATCATATAATGAGTCATTGGATTGATAACTATTTTTTTAATGTTCACTAGTTTGTTGTTAGACTTTTTTAATAGAACAGTTCTATTAAAAAATAAATTAATTTGTCTAACTACAAATACTCTATTGCATTTCGATTTTAATTATTAATATCATAAGTATTATGAAAAATATTTTGGGGGTTTTTGTATTTAATAAGTTTTGCGAAAAATGTTTTTATTATTATTGCATTTCGATTTTTATTTTTAATAATTAAGTTTCGTGGAAAATATTTTTATTATTATTGCATTTCATAAGTTTTGCGAAAAATGTTTTTAATTATTATTGCATTTCAATTTTCTGATCTTTTTGCACATTGTTTTCTTTGTGACCTTTTACTGATATATTATGAGGTGCGCCAGGACTGGTATATATATACTACTTATATATATATATATATCCACCTTGACGGTACCTATATTGGGTATAATATATAATATGGCCCGTATAGGTACATAATTATTTAATTGTTTTAAAAAGTAATATGGAATGTTTAAAATAAAATAATAAAATAAAATTATTATTTAGGTAATTTTTTGTTTTTTTTTTAATTAATTATAATATACATGGTTTTTTTATTAATATTATTTTTCATTTGCCGTTTTTGATATAACTAATTATGTAATTTTTGATATTTTTTTTAAATAGTGTATTTTATTCATAAATAAGTGGAATATGTTCCTGTTTTATATAGGTCTTATGATATAAATGTATCTTGTATCTACTTATCTAGTATCAAGTATCTAAATATTTTTTTTCCAAGTATCTGGCCCATCACTGCATTTAATAATACACTTTTAAAAATAAGTAAATTATATGTTTAACATTGTGTAGGTACCGTAAGAGCGGGATACTTTACTCCAGGGGTTAAACATTGCTCCAAAAAAAATTTCTATTGATATCAATCGTAGCACATTATGATTTTGAGATCAGAGATTGTAGTTTTTTTTATATTATTCTTATTAACATTACTAATTTTTTCAAACTTTACGGACATGAATCTATTAGTTTTCCTCCAAGATGTATATCATGTAAAAAATGGTTTTCAAAAACACAAAAATACATAACGGAAAAGTTATCCAAAATCTAGGGGATTGAAATTTAATTTAAAATGTATTGAAAAAAGACTTTTAATCAACTAAAAAAAAAAAATATATTATTAAATTATATTAAGTATAGGTTCAAATAAGTTAAAACACAAGCACTAAACATTGCACCAATAGTTATTATATGCATTAAAGTAAGGTAATTTTAATCATTGTGCAATGTAACCTGAAATGTATTTACTTTGCTCCAAACTTTTGGGAATAAGTAAGTAAGTCACTAGTACGAAATTCGGATTTTTTTGAATTGTTCTTACCTTTTAACATCTATACATATAAAACAACGCGAACAGGTAATTTTTATCTTTGTTATTGAAGCTATAGTATAGGTTCAAACTAAAAAAGAAATATATTTGGAGCAAAGTATCCCGCTCTTACGGTATGTATAATAGTTATTTAAACAAAACTATAATGCCTAAGCCTAACCAAAACAGTTTATAACATTTTATTAGAAATACATTGAATAAAATATTATTTTTTTTTTAAATTTAGGTACCTATCATATTGTGACAATAATAAATATTCAGAAATGTTAGATATTCCTGAAAAATCAGATTTCATAAAATTTATTTGCAACATTTTAAATTATGGTAGGTATAACATTTACATAATATTCAAACAGAGCTGATTTAATTATAAATAATTTAAATGTTGAAATAAAACAAATGGAATATGACACAACATTGGTTGTATGCGCATCTACTGTTGGCCATGTAATTGACGCTTTAATGGAGAAGTACCCTTCAGCAAAAGACACTTCTGATTGTACTATGTGTAAACATAAAACTGAACGAAAAATGATGCATTTTACATTCCAAATGAATTATGATGATAGTATTTCCACATTACAAAATTTCTTAGATGAGCGTTTAGTTAATGACTTTTTAATTTGCGGCAATAATGACTGCCGAGGTATTAAGACAGTCACTACTATCATTTCAGAAATGCATATATTTATAGATATACTTCTTTGGGAAGGTAAAATAACAAAAATATTTTTTATCTATTTACTATATGATTGACATGTGTGTTAAATATTTATTTATTTATCTATTATAATATTTAAATAGGCGAAGATGCCGTTTCCAGCCATCGCAGTAGTGAGGCAGCAACTATATTTAAAATAAAGTTGTGTGACATCCCGGAAATAATAACAGTGAAATCTGCAGTGTATGAACTGAGAGGTGTTTTAGCATTTCAAAGGCCTAAAAGTTCATTGAGAAATTCAGTTGGACACTACACCACTTATGTAAAAAGAGGATCAAGAAATTGGGAACTATATGATGACCTTAAAAAAAATGCCTATTCATGTGAAAGAACACACCATTGTGCCAATCGAATTTTTATTTTATTCAGTTTAAAGAAAAATTATTTTATAGATTTTTTAAAAGCTGACTATACATTATACAATAACTAGTTGGTTTTTATATGGTAATTCGGTTATTTTAATTTTTACAATTTCTTTGGTATTATTTACAACATATGACTGATAATGGTCGTCCAAACCATTTGTACAAAATAATAAAGAGCAAATAGCTACAAGAATCGTGTCTGGTAAAATATAAATATGCTTTATTAATCCATACACTGGTAAACTAGTTACTTTATTTATAACAATACACATATTGGTAGTGGAATAACGAGTACCATTTAAATTAACCCATGAAATAAATGTATAACCATTAACATCATTCAAGACACTAGAAATATTTTTTAGTTCCTCCTCAGAAATAAAAATTGTTTTACAAATCTTTAATAGGGCGGATGGATTACAATTAATACTGTTGGCTACTCGATGAGCCACTTTGAGTTGGTTTTTCAAAAATAAAGTGTAGCAGATGTTTTTTCTGCTGGTTATGGCTTGTGCAGCCACTTTTGACTCCTTATGTTTAGCCTCAAAAGGCATTGACCAAATATTTATCAATGGACCTACTCTTTCCATTATAAAGTCAATTATAATCAATTATAAAGAGCCTTATAATACCTGTTAAATCATAATTACAAACACTCTCTAGTAAGTCATGCATTAGGTCGACAGAATAATTATGAACAACATGAAAAGAGGTAACATCATTCCAAATACAAGATTCAACAACACCAGTTATGGATAAGTTTTTAATGTTAACATCAATTGAAAAATTGTCCACTGTTATAAGTTTAGAACTATCTTGGAGTGTTAAAGAATTACATTCAGCTTTGGAACATTTGCAAAATCTACAAGGATAGTTTGAGTTAAAACTCTCCGAAAACCCTAAAATGCTGTGTAAGTTTAAATTATCACCTAATATTAGAGCTAATGATAAATATATTTTAATATTTTGGTCGTCAACACATATTTGAATACCCTGGACCCCAAATCATTAATTTCTAAAATTATGTGTTTGAAGAGTTCCCGATTCCCTAATAGTTTCTTGTTAGTAGTATTAAACAATAAAACCATAAAAATGTTTTCCAACTTAGAAGCAAATTCAGTAGGGCAACCAGGAAAACTTACATAAATTGCTCCTAACTTCTGTATTCCAGCATGACTTCCGAGAGGGTTATTTGTTTCAAAATCATCGAAATACAGAAAAAAGGAATTAATATTTTATCAGAGTGTAAAATTTTATCTATCCACATTTGACTTTGTATACAATTATGGATCAAATTATCATTGGCTTCTATTATAGTTTCTAAATATTTTAAAAAAAGGTATTATATACATTTGGTACTTCAAAAAATTGTCTAAATAATTTCTTTAGTTGTACGCTATAGATTTTGACAGTAATTGATTTAATAATCACATCGCCTCTTTGGAGATAATAATTTGGTCTATAACCTACAACAGATCCAAGTTGTTTTATCAATGTACCCAAACTGTGAAATGCTTTACATTTTTTATGTTCAGTATTTAAATTTTTGAAATGATCACACAAAATATTAAACTTAACATTTAGGCATATTATGGAATCACCAACAACATTTGATTCTACTTCAGTTTTCAAAGGATGAACTATATCAATTATAAATGTTGTTATATTATTCATAATCCTTAGAACTTTAATTCTTGGTAACCCTGACTCATTATACCATTTTAACAATAATTCTACTGCTTTATTATTAACAAATTATTCATAGTTGTCACTATTGTCAGTTTGAATGATGATGGACTCATCTAATACATTATTATTTATAATATTAATAATAGGTGCATCAGGGAGGTCAAAATGATTGTTGTTACAAATGTTATTCAAATCATGCAAAATTGGAGAATTGTTAATATGACATTTTACATGTTTTCTAAATGAATTTAACCTACTAAAAGACCTTAAACAGTTATCTTCAAGGCACTTATACAATGTTATATTGTGTCTGTGTGCATGAAAAACATTGAAATGTAAAAATAATAAATTAAAATTTGCAAGATTTGATAAACATTTAAGCATTTTTAATTTAAGAATTATACAAACATAATAAACATATAATTAGATATAAACAGTACAATTTAGTTTATATAGACAATAGTTTAAATGTGGGTAGGTAGATAACTAATACAGAATAGGTAATATGATTATAACAAATAAAAAATTAACATATTTTGTTATAGAAAAATTAAAGTTCAATAGTATAGCACTAGATAGATATTAATAATTAATAATTTAAATGTTATAGCTAATTTAACTGTATATACTATGAGAGAATCCGGAGCTTTTTAGGGCTCCGTAAACCACCCACGATGTAAGGGGAACACTTACACCGTAACCTATGAGCCGCACCGCGTGATGACCCGAGGGCCAAGTCGGTGGAGCTCATAGGCTTTGTTACACGCAACTACAAATGAATGTAGAGGATTTAAGGGGAGAAAGATAATATTTGAAGATTTTGGGCTATTAACAAAATATATTGACTGGCATTACAAGTTAAGGTTAAAATTTAACATTACAAATAATAATAATAACAATAACATGACAATTGTAATAAACAATTTGGCACATGCCAATTACAAAATATAAAAGATTTGTCGCATGCTTTCCTGGCCCACGGGAGGCGACACACCATATCACTCATGGCGCATCCTCGCAGGGTTACCGGGAAAGCGTGCCGGGCTTGTTAAAGCCAAAAACAGGGGGAAATATGTGAGGGACCCGCGTCTTGCGACGCCTCCTCAGGCGCACAGGTTATACAAACGTGAATTTCGTATAACCTGTGCCCCACGTGCTGGTAAAGGGGGGGGGACAGGGGAAATAAAACATATTACGACTGTGCTGCGTGGTCGATGTTGACGATGATGATGTGCTGGTTGACGGCAGTCACGTGGTTGTAGCATGGCCTGACCTCGGGCCCGTCGTGAAAAACTTAGCCCATCATGGCGTGTTGATCGTGAGCCAGAAAAAGGTATGTACTTTGGACAGGTAACGTATACTCAAAGTATGGCGTGATACACAGCGGGTTCGAGTCGGTCGTTGTTCACAAGTAGTGACGTCGTACTTTGTGGAGCGGTAGTGGTCCGTGATTTAAGACGAGAAAAAGGTGAGTGAGTTGAGTTGAGCGGAGACCCGGCGACATCGGTGGTCTGTTGCCGGCGGCGGAGCTTTTTGTCGTTGGTGGGGCAGGTCAGTGTCGTCGTTTTGTGGGATGATACAGTATATTCGGGGAGTACAGTAGTGCCTGCGGGCCGTACCGGCGGACGGGCCGGACGCGATAAAAGCGCTGGAGATGACCGCGGCACGTCGACGACGATCACTGCATGATGAAGGGGGGGAACGGGGAACATTTATTGCATAGCACTGCGGTCATTTCTGCATTAGCGCGTGATATTCATAACAATATATAAATAAGGTATGTTTATTAATGGTAATATGGGTACAGGTATGTTTATGATATTAATAATATTAATGCAAAAAATGCTGTGACGTTACAACTATATAAGATTATCGAAAGAGTATAGTAAGTTACTTTGAAAAATATGATAATATATAATAACTAATGTTAAACCATGGTTCGATATAAATTTATTAGAACTATATCTAAATAAAACTAAATATGTGCGTTTCAGAATTAATAATACTAACTATATTATACATGAGAAAAAAAATAATATTTATTCATCATCTTGTAATTCCTCAAATTGCATTTTGAATTATTACTTATTAGAAGAAGTATAGATAGCATAAACTATCTTGGGTTATATATGACAATAAATTTATTAACAAAGACTATAAGAAAATTATTTTATATCCTAAAGCATAGGTTGTTAACTGGGGGTCCACGGAGTTTCCGTGAATTTTTTTTTTAAAAATCCAAAACTAAATTTGGTTCGATAGTGTTTTCAAGATAACAATAAAAATGTCTTGCCCGCATTCTGCCATATGAAAAATAATTTAGATTACGATATGATAATATTATATTATGTCATATAAACGATAAAGTTATCGGAATCGTAAAATAATATACGGGCATATAACAATACAATCTAACGAGCATTTCAATTGAACATGGAAACCCATGACCCATCACTTCAGTTGACCTATCGCCGTCGCGTTGTGCATTGTCCGTCTCAACCGTCGTTATAATATTCCTTCTAGTTTTCACACCATTTTATGTTTATATTTTTGACATTTTAATAATTATTACAATGTCGAAAAAAAGAAAGTACGATGACTCTTATACGTCGTTTGGTTTTACATCTATTACCGAACGCGATGGTACACAAAAACCACAATGTTTTATCTGCGGAAAAATACTTGCAAATGGCAGCATGAAACCAACAAAGCTTAAAGAACATCTTGCTTCGGTACATCCTCAACATGCGTCTGATAGTCTGGAAGTATTACAAATAAAAAAAGCACCTTTTGAAAAATCCGGTACAGTACCCAAACTTGGATTTGTACCTCCGCAAAAACCGTGTCTCGAAGCATCTTACAAAGTAGCTTACCGCATTGCTAGAAGTAAAAAACCACATACAATTGGTGAGTCACTAATAAAACCATGTGCATTAGAAATGGTAGAATTAGTATGTAGTTTGGAACAACGAAAAAAAATTGAATCTATACCTTTATCACATGATACTATTAACTCTAGGATTTCTGATATGTCCACTAACATTTTGGAACAAGTAATTCGGGAATTAGATTCAACCCCTTTCCCATTCAGTATGCAGTTAGGAGTCTATGTCAATTGGTCGTGGTAAAATTTGTCGTCTGAAATTGGTCGTTTGGTAAAATAGTCGTAGTATATTTTCATCTCGAAACGCGAATACTGGTTAAAAACTTTATGTAGGTACAAATTGACAGTCTTGTAAAAAATACTTTTGAAAAAGTATTACGATACTAATACTAGTTTTCGAATAAAAAAGTATTAAAAATACTTTTAAAATACTTTTATAAAAATGTATTTTAAGAATACTCACAAAGTATTTGAATACAAATACAAATACAAATATTTTTTTTTTAATTTTATGCTACCTACTCGTATGTAATATATACATATTGAATATAAGTATATACTCTGTACCAAATAAGAGCGCACCGGGCGGCGCACGAAAACCGGTCGAAACTCGCGCATGTCAGAGAGCGCTGCCGCAGCGTATTCCGGCGCCGGCCAGGTCAACTCTGAATACAGAGTGTTGTCTATTATCACACCAATTTTAACGGTATACGCGGTTAGACGTTGTTATATTTTTTGCGCGCATTGGTGAATATTTTGAATGTTTTTAATATTATATTGAGTTCAATACCTATGTTAAGAAAAAAAAACGAAAAGTATGTGTATTATTTTACTGATTAATACGCGTGAAACGCATTATTACTTCAGCTCCCTGTATTCACGGCGGCGTCGACGGCGGCGAATCCGACCGACGATCGGCGACCAATCACAGAGCAAATAGACCCGACCAGGGGGTCCAGACGTCGCTCCGCGATTCATTTGAATGCGCCAACGCGGTGCGCTCTTATTTGGTACATAGTATAGGTACCCAGATAAATACGTGTTCACATATTTAATTCTGCATTTAGATATATTTCAACTAATATTGATTACATAGTAACGAAAAAAATAAAATAAAAAGTGGTATTAACTATTAATATGGAACTATTTTAAAATTATTAGATTTTCAGTTTTCTTAAAAAGTTCCAATACAGAAAACCATATAATATTTGATGTGGTATTTTTTAATTTTAAACATTGTTATTACCTACTTTTACTATACAAAATATTAGTTTTAAACGAAAACAATATTATTTTTATTGATGTCAATTTTGTGTGAAAAACTATATATTAAAATTAATAAAATGGACTTTATTTTATTTTAATACAAGTATTTAAATTTTGTTAAAAATACTTTTAAAAAGTGTTCAAAATTCTTAAAAAATACATTGAAAAAATTGTATTTAGAAAACCATATAAATACTTCAAAAAGTATTTAAATACAAGTATTCAAATACTTGTATTCGAATACTTTACAAGACTGCAAATTGACAATAATCATTAGGTATAAAACGTTTTGCGATAATAAGTTAAATAACAGCGTGTACAAAATATGTACAACTAGCATTATTACAGCTATATTATATTTCGATAACAACTATTATCGGATGTTCTTTATCTGGAATACAAATAATAATGTTTCGTTTCTTCTATAGTGTATACTGTGTTTACAAATTTCCCATATTCACCCTAGCCTTTGGAAATTTATAAGAGCCCTACAAAAAGAAGAAAAACTAAACCGTCTGAAAATGGTCCAATATTGCACTGGAGCAGAAACCAAAATAAAACGAAAGAAATATAATGACACCGCTGAGAGGATAAATACAATATGTAAAATGTTTAATAATAGAACATTTGATGAATATATATCCGGGATAGCTCATAACTTATAATTATTTTCACATATTATTTTTTAAAACTTACAATTATTGTTACATACATTAAATTCAAAATTATGACCAAATATTTTTTTTAACGTCCAATTCACCAAACGACCAATTTAAAAAACGACCAATTTCAGACGACAAATTTTACCACGACCAATTGACTGTACCCCTGCAGTTAGGACCTAAAGGATATTAGATACGTATGTAGGATACAACACAAACACATTATATATTTATCATTAGTTCAATAAATCTTAAATTTTGGTATTGAATTCTGGAACTCCACCTACAATATTCGTTTATGCAATTTATTAAGAACAATCAACAGACTAATTCAGCGGTTCTTAAACTTTTTTATCCGTGGAACCCTATTTGATGTCCACTTTTATCGTGGAACTTCTACTTTGTTTTTTAGCTTTTAAGATTTTTTTTAGGATTATTTGCAAAAAAAAAAAAATACAATTATTTCATATACTAATATTGTGTTACAGATATTTAATTAAAAAATATGTTAAAAAAAATAATAAAAATAATAATAATTGTATATAATATTACTTTAATAATAATTACTTAATGAAATGCGTGTAATTGCTTTTTATCATTACAAATATTCTTAATATTGGGCTTTATTGATGAAAGTTGTATGAACATATTAGGTTCAGCATCAAGTCTGTTGGGGTATTTTGTTTTTGTCGATACATAGTTGGAGAACCCCGTTTCACACATATAAGTTGTTGCAAATGGTAAAAGTGCCAACACTGCCTTTTGTGACAATTGAGGATATTCATCTTTTGAACTGCACCAAGATTGGCATTGATTTAAATTTTTCTTGCAGTGATGAATCAGATATCATTTCAATAAAGGTTTTATATTCTTTTACTGACATGATTGAAGGTCATGTACTGACAATAAATGGATTTTTAATCCACAATTTTATATTTCACCGATTGGTCATTTGGAAAATACTGGTTGAATCCTTCACTCAATCCAGTGAGGTGCTGAATAATTTCCTCAATGAAAACCTCATTTATTTCGACCCCTTTCCTCTTCCAAAAAGCATTTAATTGTTGGAAAGCAATCAAACTCGTTGGAGCTCATACAAATTTTCCAAAAATCTAACTTTATCTTAAAAGCATGAATTTTTTCGTGTGCAGTAAAAACATTTACTTGTCTGCCTTGAAGTGTGAAATTAAGCTCATTGATCTTTGTAAAAATATCACTTAAATAGGCGACTTTAGTAGCCACTTTTGATCAAGAAATCGATCTTTAATTCGAAATTGTGTTCAAAAAAAAAAGGCACGTACCTCGTGCTTTAATTCAAAGTTAGTATCTTTCCTCGAGATAACCACCTGACCTCGGTATGTAAGAGAAGAGAAGTATGTACACTTCCCATGTCCTCACATAGGATTTTGAATAAACGATTTTGAAGAGGCTGAGATTTTATAAAGTTTATGATTTTTCATCAAGAGCTTTCTTAAAACTAAAAGATAACTTTGCAGCGAGTGCCTGTCTATGTATCATACAGTGGCTACTAGAACAGTTTTTGGCAATATTTTCAATACGCTGTACAGCTCCATTAATTGTACCACTCATGGCCAAAAAGTTAATACAATTTAATCACATTACTACAGAATTACAAAATTAGATTTTCTGGGAAAACTGTTGGAGCAGGAATTATGAAAACGTGGTTAGGAAGCGGCAGGAATTGAGTACTAATTATTGGCGCAAAAAAAATTGCGAAAAGTTAAATTTGGAAGGTTGGTGGGGCTGGGGTAACGTTACCCCAGCCCCACCCGTAGAAAATTGGATTTTCCGGGAAAACTGTTAGAGCAGGAATTATGAAAACGTGGTCAGGAATCAGCAGGAATTGAGTACTAATTATTGGCATAAAAAAAATGTCGAAAGTCGAAATGGGGGGGGGGGGCTGGGGTAATGTACGTGCGGTATGATCAAAGAAATCCTCGGTTCAGTTTAAACGGCATTCGGCTCGTACGCGTATTCGTGGCTTCCGTCCGAACAGTAAATAAATAGAAACCGTGTATTTTGTTTTTTATTAAATATTTTTTGTGTTTTTATTTATTTTACTGACTTGTAATTATGGAGTGGACTGACGATTTATGTTTACAATTAATACAGTTGTATAAATTAAGACCGATACTTTTGAATCCACAAGATCCTCAATATAAATTGGGCAAAAAAAAATTGGTTTTTTGGAAGGAAATAAGCTAGGAACTACAGCTAAATGTAAATGGCATGACGTGAAGAAAAAGATGGACAGCCTTTTAGCTTCTTTCCGACGAGAGAGGCAACGTGAAGCCAGCAGTGGACGCCCAGGTGCTGGAACAGACGAGTGTTACGTACAGCAATTTCAGAATCCAAACGATGATGCAGTTTGAAATAATAAAACTAATTTCAAAGTAATCAAATGTGTTTTTAATAATTTAGAACAGTTTAATTATGATTTCGTGGTAGTAGCGGTGTAGCTGTGTGTAATGGCTGGTGGCGTGAAGTGACTTCGGTCTTGCTGGTCCAGGTACATCTGATCTGGCTGTGCTCCTGTCTCCCTTATATATTATGTCAGCTCCTTTGATCTGGTCAGCATACGGAACTCACAGGCACCTTGGGTGTGGTCGTAAAAGTTGTTGTACGTTTTATATTATTTTATTTTCACCTAGAGCATAAGATGATGCGTCTACTACGAGTTTTATCGGAAAATTATGATCATAATGTGCTAATACTGGTTTCGAAATTAAAATTTATTTAATTTTGTTGAATGCTTGGTCGCATTCTGGAGTCCAATTCCATTTATTTCCGTTACGCAAGAGCATGTACAATGGTTTTAAAATATTTGCAGCGTTTGGAATACATTTTATGTAATACGTAATTAGACCTTTTTTTTTTTTTTGTGTGGTATCACGGCGCTACAGGGGGGCACTACACCCTGGTGGGTCGTCCTTCCCCCTGTATCCGTATCATTTATTGAAACGTATCATACCTATGGCCTTAACTTGCTAATTTAATTTAAGAGCTTCGCTCCACATAAAAAATGAGGGCTCTATCCCTTTAATTCTGCCATTGGCGCACAATTAAATTTACTTAACTAACTAGCCCTTAATTAAATCCTCGTTGTCTCCGTCGCTCATCTTCCTCTCTACGGGACTGGACACGTTTCACAAAACTGTTGACTGCGTCCCAGTTGCTCCGTTTCTTCAACATGCATCCAACAATATTGTCTGAACTCAATACGTCTTCTTCCAGCTCTACTTCGAGCGCTCTTCTTTCACTCCACCATCTATCGCACCTAAAGAACACGTGCTCCGCGTCGTCGACCGGCTCTTCGCAGTTCGCACAACTCGGATCCTCCTGCTTCCCGATCCTCTTCAGGTATGCTCCAAAACAACCATGGTCAGACAGTAGTTGTGTGAGGTGGAAATCCACTGAGCCATGTTTCCTGCTTGTCCACTTATTGATGTCCTTAATCATTCATCGTGTCCATTCGCCGTTCTCTTCGTTGTCCCACTCTCTTTGCCATCTGTTCATCACCTCTCCCTTGGTCTCCATTGTCACTCGTGTCTGGTCTGGTTCGTGCTTCCGTTTGTACTTCTCCATTAGCTCCCATGCCAAAAGGTGAGCTGGTATTAGGCCCGCGATTACCATCACTGCCACCGTGGATATGGTGCGAAAGGCTCTTGCTATCCTTACCGCAATCGTCCTCTGGGGCCTCTCTAAGTTTTCGATGTTATGGTTGAAGACAAGGGCTTTAGACCATATCGGCGACGCGTATAGCAGTTTGCTCGCCACGACTATGGACAGGAGCTTCCTCCTCCTCTGTCCCGAACCGCCGATATTGGGCATCAATCTTGCTAGTGCCGATGCAGTACTATTTGCCTTCGCCGCCGCCGTCTTTATGTGCGCTTTAAAGCCCAGCACCCTGTGTAGTTCTACACCTAAGTACTTGATACTCTCCTTTATTTCGATGCGATTGCCCGCGATCGAAAACTCAGGCATGTTATAGCCCCTCTTTTTTGTCAGTATCACCGCCTTTGATTTTCTTATTGATAGAGCAAGGCCGGCGCTTGACATCCACTCAGCTACTCTGATCAACGCCTCATTCGTTGCGGTCTCCAGTAGCCTTGTCGTGTGTCCGGTCGATACCACCGCCACATCGTCCGCGAAGGCCACCAACTCTGTAGACGATATACCGGTCACGTTCCCTCCTGTATCTATATCCAGCAACCCGTCGTACATAATGTTCCAGAGCAATGGTCCCAGTACAGACCCCTTTGGGACTCCGCAAGTAGCTGCTCTCGAATTCCCCTCGTATGTGACCGTCCTGTTGCTCAGATAACTCTGTAAGATACCGACAAGATAGGTAGGTACCCTCTTGTCTTGCAAGGCTTTAATTATTATCGGCCATTTCGCCGTATTGAACGCGTTAGCCACGTCCAGGTCTACCACTGCGCACAGTTTCCTTAACGGCCCGGATCCAGCCGCGTCCACTACGTTCATGACACGTTTGATTGCGTCCACCGTCGACAACCCCCTTCTGAAACCGTATTGTCGATCGTTTAGGATTCCGTTTTCATCGAGCCACTTTTCCATCCGCGACTTGATGACTCTCTCGAAAAGCGTTCCTACTGTGTTTAGCAGATAAATGGGACGGTATGACGATGGATCGTCCAACTGTCCCCCTTCCTCAAAAGGACCAGCTTAGCTACCTTCCATGGTTGCGGAAAAACACTATGTCTGAGGCATTCATTGAAGATGTCCCTCAGGATCTCAGGTCTTTTTATGGCGATTTCCTTGACCACTATGTCAGGAACACACATCCGGTCCTGGCGCCTAACCATGTGGAATTTTGCAGACCAGTTCTCCATTTTCGGCATAAGTGACGTCCGGAAAAACATGATTCTCCATCGTTCGAGGCCATACCACTTCTTCTTCCGTTGGGAAGAGAGCGTCAATAATAGAATCAGCTTTGCCTGGCAACGAGAGTCCCGGGATTGGCCTTCTGCCAATTAGCTTTTTCGTCACCAGCTTATATGGGAGGCCCCATGGATCAGTCTCTACTTGTCTACACAGGTCTTGCTTTCTTGCTCCTCGGGATGGCCAGCTTCAGCTCCTTTCTCTTTTCCTTGAAGGCTTCCTTCTTTTGTTCCTGTTCCTCGATCGGTCTGAAACGTCCCCTCTTGTACTCGCGTCTAGCTTTATGACATTCTGCTCGTATCTTGGCAATATCTTGTGTCCACCAGTAGGCAGGCTTCTTGCCACCAGTGTACTTTCCTTTGGGCATGCAGCTGTTACATGCAGTTTTAAGGTACTTGTCCAGTGTACTCGCAGCCTTAATCACCTCGTCGCACGTAATAAAGTCGGTTGATTCGATGAAATTTACTAGTTTCGTTCTATCATACTTCCTCCACGATCACTTCTCCTCTGGGGGTAGGCTCTCTGTGCGTACTTCTCTTTTTATGCTGTACGTAATGTATCTATGAAGTGATGCATTGTAGTCGTCCAATGTTTTCCAGTCGCAAACCAGGTGGCTACTCTTCTCATTGACGAACGTGATGTCAATATGTGACCTTGATATTCCGCCGGCATACACCCTGGAAAATGTTGGTTTGTCTCCGGTATTGCATACTGCCAGTCCTGTACTAGCAGTCATATCCACCAGCGCAAGCCCTTTCGATTCTTCGGTGTGGTCTCCCCAAGCCGCAGATTTTGCATTGAAATCTCCGGCGACAATGACTGTGCGCTCATGGCGTCTGATGCTACCCTCTAGCCGATCTAAGAAGTCTATGAAAAGGGTGTAGGCCGTGTTAGAGGACCAGTAACAAGCATACACCGTGATGTCTTCAACTTTAACCCATCGGAATCCTGTGTTGTCCTTTTGTCCGATTTCCTGAATTTGTAGCCTTGGGTTAAATACTAGTATGGCTGTCCTCGCATCAACATCAGATAACCATCCATCGGCTTCTGAGCCGCAGCAGTATGGTTCGCTGAAGACCACCACGTCGATACCCATATTGATCGCGGTTGCCAGTGCCAGGTCTTGTGCTGCCCTGCATACGCCAACATTGATTTGGGGGCATCTAATCATTTCGTTTTCCGCCTGTGTTACCACTCAGGACTGCCTTAAAAACGACTCGAACGTCCTCTGTGGAGTTGCAAGATGCTGCCTGATGACCGGTTAATCCGCATTCCCTGCAACGGTCTCCCCTATCTGGACCCGAGCAGTCGTCCCACCTGTGCCCGAACGCCAGGCATTTAGGACATCTGCCTCTCCCGCGATATTCCCAAGAACGTATCCGGCAATTAACGTACCCGACCCTTAGCTTCCCGGCTGCCAGAGCCTTGTTCGCAATGTGGGCTGGGAGTGAGATTACTACCCACTTTTGCCCTCTGCTGAGATATCTTGTCGATATCACCCTGACCTCCTCGGACTTTGCGTTGGTTGCGCCGCAGATTGCCTCGACAATCTCCGACGGCTCAGCCTGCTCGTCGAGATCCTGTACAACAACCTTCTGGAAATGTGCCATTTCCCTGGCCGCTGCCTTATCCCCCATCGCCGTGCTTATCGCATCGACGATTTTTCCCGACGTTTGGTTCTTGGCTTTGAGCCGTATAAGTAGATCACCGTCTCTGGTTTTACTCAGTCCTACGATGTAGTCCGAGACTGCTTGGACTTCCCCGCTGCCCTTGATCATCTTGAGCACCTCTGAATAGGAAACATCCTTGACTCGGACTAGAATGGCCGGGGGACGCGTTCTAGTAGTCCTTGCGCTCGGGTTGGTCCTAGTGGGTAACCCTAGGTCACCCCCTGCGAGTGGTGGAACTAGCTTAGCGCCTGCTTTCTTCTGGTATGCCTTCCTCTTTACTACCTCCGCCCACTGCCCAGCTTCGCCTTGTCCACTTTTAATGGTGGCCGCCATTGCCGATATTTGTTCGCCCTGATCAGTCAGCTTGGAGTTAATCGACCTTATCTCCGCAAGCACACTCTCTTCCAGAGTCATATGGGTCCCTGATGCCACAGCTCCTGCTGCCTTGTTCACTAGTACCACCACATGTTGTGCCTCTGCACGTGCGGTGATGGCTTGCTTGAACACATCAATAGCATCAGCCAGCAGGGTCTGTACCAGTTTCGCTACGTTATTTGCATGTTCGACGGCGACGAGCATCGTATTCAACCTCCTCCCTATTCTGTCGACGAGATCCCTTTCTGTGCCGATCTTTTCCTCCAGTATTTCCGACAGCTCTTCGCCGGATTTGTCCTTGTAATCCTCATGCTGGACCGCATGAGTCGCTTTCATTTTACTCTCGAGTAGTCTGTCCGCCAATGTCTTCTTCCCAACCGTCCCGTCGGATGCTGAGATTACTCCTTCTGTTGACCCCGAGGGGTCCATGGCAAGGGGGGAGGTCCGATGACCCTTGCCCCCTTTGTTGCTACCACTTCTCCACCCAGCCAACACAGGGGTGCCGAATCCGTAGGTATCTGCGCCCTATGTTGGACCTATAAGCCCAGGTTCTGATTTCAGCCGAAAATGCGCCCTCGAATATTTCTGCCCCTAATGGGGGGAGCTGGCCGGATCCGGGACAAAATGTGCAGTATCCTCTTAGGAAGCCTGTCTGATCGGGTGGGGGGCCTAGCCCCGTTTACCCGGTCGCTGCGAGTTTTGCCGCCTCTGAGCCCTATTTCCCCTATATCTCAGCCCCTGGTGATGGTAGAGGGATCGGGTTTTCGGCAGCTTGGCCAGTGCCGTCTCAGCTAGCATTGCGTTTAAAGGGCAGCAAAATTTTTTCCCCGAGCCTCTCAGACCAAAATTGGCCGAGTTATCGCCGAAAAACGATTGACGTGGGGGGAGGGGGGGCTTATGTTCCCGATGGTAGAAACATAGGCGGTAATTAGACCTAAAAATGATTTTAGCAATGTTTTATTTTCTGGGATAGTGGCGTTACTTATAACATATGTGTGTTTCGTTAATGTGTGTAAACCATTTTCATCTAGCCGGTTTCAATTGATTTTTGTAAAAATTTACACTTTTTATATTTTACTCTTAAACCAGCATTCGACAAAACATTTAGTAATTTTCTTAAGCGAGCATTGTGCTCTGTGATAGTAGAATCTGCAACGATACTATCATCTTGGAATATACCTATGCCCTCAAGACCTGTTGTAGAAATTTCCATAGCTTTTTGGAACTCCCCTGCTGATAATTTTATTCCGAACGGGTTACGGGTTAAGCTAAATAAACCTTTATGTGTGTTAATAGTATTATATTTGCGATCAGATTCTTTGATGACTATTTGCTGGTATGCGTATTTTAGATCTATTTTCGAAAAATATTTTGAACCACTAATATTTGCGTACAAATGTTCTATTTTTTAAAGCGGATATTCGGTCTCTTCTAATACCGGATTTATTGTTATTTTAAAATCACCACAAATTCTAACTGTGGCGTCCGATTTTATTATTGGTACTATTGGAGTTGCCCATTCACTATGGTCGACGGGAAATAAAATATTACTTTCAACTAAACGCTATATTTCGGTTTCCATTTTGCCTCTTGATACTAAAGGAATAGACCTTGGTTCGTAAAATTTTGGTACCGCCCCTGCTCTGATATTTAATGAAATTTCGTACTGGTTAAAAGTACCTACTTCATCTTTAAAAACATTGTTATATTTACTTACTAACTGGTGTTACCCCGGTTTCGCCCGGGGTGTGACCATACGAATATGTCACTTTGAATTTTTTTTCTAATGTTATTTTTTTTTATTTGCTTATTAAAATTTTTTCATTGTTATGTACGATACTCAATAAATTTCGCTAACAAGTGGAATTGCCTTTGATGTATACGTGTTGATATATACGCTCTAAATTTGATTTTTCGTTTTTCCTCTTTTATGAGTGTTCTTTTGAACTACTCAACCGATTGATATAAAATCCAACATTTTTCAATTTTTCCTTTTTTTTGAAAAATTACTTCTTCCTTTATTTTTTTTTTTTTGAACCATTTTAGCTGACACCTCGATTTTTCACTTTTCGCTATATTCTTTTTAAAATACAGAATAGATTGAACGTACCATTAAAAATGCAATTTAACAATTTTGACGGTTCAACTTTAAAATTATTAATTCATAAATTGCTATAAAGTTTGGTTGTGTATAATTAAAATGATTATGCCATCAAATAATGCGTAAAAATAAAAAATGCTCTAATGCTTAATGATTTTTTTGTCTCTCGAAATTTCTAAATGAAAAAAGAGAATAAAAGAAAAGACCGTAAGTATTTATTTTGTCTATTAGAAATTGTTTTTTAAATGTATTTCAAACAAATATTTTTTATTTTTAGTCTTCCATTTTGGAAGTGCTTGGTTTCGGTTAAATTTAACTCTTTATTATATTTTGTTAAATACCAATCATGAAAACTGCAATTTAATGATTCATTAATGATTATTTTTGAATTTCATTGTTTTAATCGTTGGTCACAAATTTACCTTTTTATTTTAGAAGTTTCCATATGATAATTTAAAACCGATGATTGTATTAATGCTAAATATTTTTTATCTTGATATGCGTTAAGTCTCGCTTTTGTTATTGATATTATTATGTCTTTTTCTGCAATAAAATTGTCTGCATTTTTATTCCATAACGTCAGTGTAATCTAGAACATGAGGATTATTAATATTTATAGTGATTTTACACTGATATACACTTGCCTCATCACTGTAATCAATTAGTTGTATCTCTTTTTTCTTAAATTCCCTTCCATCTTTTGCAAATACTGTATCAGTGTCTCCGATATTTTCGATAACTGCAATGACATCTGAAAGAATTATGTTTAAATTTTTTTTCTTTTTTTTCTTTTTTTTTCTACGATTTAAACGTTTATAATGTTTCTTATTCTTACTTATGATTGTTTGATTTTCCAGATTTAAAATCTTATCAATTTTTGTATATATTGTTTCATCTAATTCAGTGTCTTGATTTTGTTCTTGACACTCTTCTCTTATTCTGAAATAATCATTCATTAATTTTTCCTATAATTTTTTTTTTAAATTATTAATATCATTAAATAGACTTATATATATATACTTTGTCGCTTCGGGAAAGCCTGGATTTATCGATACTCTAGATGAATTGATTAGAGATAAATTTTTAATGTAATTATACTCTCCAATTTTGGCATTTTTAATTGCAATAATATCCTCTTTTTTTCTTTTGAATTCATTGATTTTTCATTCCATAAATTTAAAGTTATCTGAAAAACGAGATTTAAAATTATGAAATAAAAATAAATATAAAACCCGAATATAAGTGGTGGTATCATACTTTTCTGTTGTTTTCATCTATGAGAATTATTTCTTTTTTCTCATAGTTATCACCGTGTACAGATGTTATATTTTCGGTTTCTTTAATTTGTTCTATTTTGGCAATAACGTCTAAAAAAAAAACATTATTATTTTACCGTTTCCATATTTGAGTACTTGAGAATCTTACCTATAATGGTGTTTTTTTCTTTATTATATATCATATTAAATTTAAAAAAAATTGAAGCCTTCCTCTTGTTCTGCTTATTTGAATGTAAATATCATCTTTTTGTTATTTCCTGTTTTTTCGTACCATTGTGTTAATCTGCACACACAATTTCTATAATTTTTTTTTATCCCATTTAAATTTCTTTGGATATTTTACCTTTTTGCTTCCTCAATATTTGAATTTATCAAAATTATTGAAGGGTGACCCAAATTGTTGACCCCATAGTAATCAAATACTTGAACATTTTTTAATATTATTAAATCGTTGACAGTCCCTTCAAAATTGTCAATTTGTGGAGTATCCCTTAATATAAGTGATATCTAAAAGTAATAAGATCATTTAGATATATAATTCTATCAGATTGAATATTTTTATCTTGGATTTTGTGTCGTCAATTATCACAATTTCTTTTCTTTTAAATATTGCTCCTTTGGCAGTTGTTGAAGTTTGCACTTTACCCATATTTTTGATGATTCCAATTACATCTATAATTTTATTTTATTAATGGTATTTAGTACCTCAATATTCTTTATGCGTCGGATTACCTATTGTTTGATCTTTTTTGACATCAGTTTAATTTTTTAATTTAATGAATTCGAATTCCATTTTTTTTATTGTACTGATATCTTTTTCTATTTGTTTTATTTCAGAATTTTCATTCAACAATATTTAAAATTCATGTCCTAAACGATTATAATTTGTATTCACTTTATTAATATTCCATTTGATATAGAATACATTTTTTGAATCTAAAAAATCAATATATTACATATATGTGTTAATCCATTTAAATAATAGCTGCTAATTTTTTAGTAATAATTTGTTTTATTTAATTTAAATTCACCGTAAAATTTTTCAACCATTTGGCCAAATGCCACGCATCGAATTTCAGCGCTTTCATCAGTTAAATCTACATTGAATACTTTACTCTCCCCTTTGGCATTTCTAAATATTCGGATTTATTTGTAACTCGCCCTTTAACTTTCTATCTACATACCCAATATTGGAGTTCTATGTAATTAAAGATTTAATAAACAATTTAATAAATACAATCTTACCCGTTTGAATTGGCAACCAGTGATGCTGTTTTCATTGTATCATCATCGTTATTATTTATCTTTTTATTTTTTTGTTCTTGGATATCGTTAATATCATGACCTCTTTTCATTTTAATTTTTTTATTATATTTGATTTTTATATCCTGTTAATGGATATCCTAATATCTATAAAACTGACACTATAGGTCGAATGTATACAATACATCCAAATAACCCAGAATGTTTTTATCTACGAATATTATTACATAATGTACATGATCCAACAGCATTTAAAAACTTAAAAAGTGTTGATGGTATTGAATATGATACATACAGAGAAGCATGTCAAAAACTTGGATTACTTAGAGAAAAAATTTAAAACAATGGGGACTGACTTCACCGAATCGAATACAAAATACGTCACTCCCAACAGAAATCTTACGTGAAACATCATACAACGTCTCAGATTTAAATACATATATCAATAAAAATAAATCGCAGCTAATCGATGATCAAAAAGAGGCATTTGAAGAAATTATGGATATTATTAAAAGAGACGAAGGAAGCTTAATTTTTTTAGATGCACCAGGAGGTACTGGAAAAACTTTTTTATTAAATTTAATATTAGCGGAAATACGAAAGAAAGGAGAGATTGCTTTAGCAGTAGCTTCTTCTGGAGTAGCGGCAACTTTATTACATGGTGGACGTACTGCCCATTCAGCACTGAAATTACCTCTGAATTTCAATTTAACAGAGGAGCCTTATTGTAACATTATAGATAATTCTGCTACTTGTGAATTACTTAAAAAAACAAAAGTTATAATTTGGGATGAATGTACAATGGCTCATAAAAAAGGTCCAGAGGCATTGCATAAAACTTTACAAAATTTGAATAACAATGAATATATAATGGGAAAAGTATTGTTTATTTTAGCTGGTGACTTCCGAAAAACATTACCGGTAATAACACATGGAACACCTGCTGACCAAATTGATGCATGTTTGAAAAAAACTTATCTTTGGAAACATACAAAGATAATAATGTTAAAAAAAAACATGAGGGTATTTTTAACAGGTGATCCTACACTATCAACTTTTTCAGAACAATTACTACTTCTTGGTATTTGGAAATGGAAGGAAGATTCAGATGGTACTGTGGAATTTCCATCAAATTTTTGCAATATAATAAAATCAATTGAATCTTTGAAAACTCATGTATATCCTGATATGCAAAAGAATTATATCAATCATGAATGGATATGTGAAAGAGCTATACTTACACTGACAAATTATAAGGTAGATGATATTAATAAATATATATTAAACTCTCTCCCAGGAGAAAGTAAAACATATAAATCAATCGATACCGTATGCAATCCCGAAGATTCAATACACTATCCAATGGAGTTTTTAAATTCTTTGACATTTACCGGGTTTACCTCCTCATATATTAACTTTAAAAATTGGAGCACCTATCATGATTTTAAGAAATATTAATCCACCTAAATTATGCAATGGAACCCGTTTAAGTGTAAAATCTTTGAAAAATAATGTAATATAAGCTACAATATTAACCGGATGTGGAAAAGGTGAAGTCGTGTATAAGGTGATTTTTTAAGCATGCTCATCCCATTTTTATGCTTAAATTATGCATATATTCAAATTCTGATTTTACATAGTTTAAAGTCATATAGAAAACAATATTTGTATTAAAAAATTATATTTTTAAACATTTTTTATCCTTATAATTTTTTAAATTTTTTGAATGACAACATAGAGTTTTAATTTCATATTCCAAAATGGAATATTTTTCTAGGTATTTTGATACATAAAAATCAAATTTCGGACGAGTAGTTTATGAGTTATAAGTATTTAAAGTTTAGACAAGCGGAATAGTGGACAAACATTTTGCGGGTAACCCCGTACCACTCCACTCCTTTCATCTAAACTTTAAATTCTTATAACTCTTAAACTACTCGTCCGAAATTCGACTTTTATGTATCAAAATACTTAGAATAATATTCCATTTTGGAATATGAAATTAAAAATCTACGTTGTCATTCAAAAAACTAAAAAACTTAAAAAATTATAAGGATAAAAAATATTTAAAAAAATGATTTTTTTAATAAAAATGTTGTTTTGTAAACAACTTTAAACGATGTAAAATCAGAATTTGAATATATGCATAATTTAAGCATAAAAATGGGGTGAGCATGCTTAAAAAATCACATTGATTACCAAGAATACCTATTAAACCCAGTGATGTGCCGTTTGGATTTGAGCGATTACAGTTCCCGGTAAAACTTGCATTCACCTTCACTATAAATAAATCTCAAGGTCAATCATTGAAATGTACAGGACTTATACTTGATCATATGTGCTTCTCTCATGGTCAATTATATGTAGCATGTTCAAGAGGTGGTGACCCGAAAAATCTCTACATTTATTGTCCGAATGGAAAAACAAAGTACATCGTATGTTCGCGCCTAGTAATTAGCGATACGATATCGTTATCGTTGTGCCGCGACGACGACCGTTCCTTTTCTTATCATCTTTCGGCTCCACCGACACCTCTCATTATTTAAATGTGTATTATTATTACTTTTGTATTCATTATAATTATCAATGTTCTTTGTCCGTTATTATTGTATATCCTCTGTCTTTGGGCATGATTATTATTGTGTGTAATCATATTGTCTTTTTCTCTGTTTACTTTATACGGCCAACACCCTTGTTGTTTTTCTTGTATTATCTTTGTGGTGTTCGTTTCATGTATATACTCTCATCGTTCGAAAACTATTATAAATTGTTAATTCTGTTTCTTTTTCCGCTATTGCAGCGCCTACTTTTGTTTATATACGTCTGTTGTTTTTGGTTTAGTACCCTTTTGGTACACCCACAATGTAATGTGGTTATAAAATCTTGTTAAACCTGTACTGTGTGATCCATGTAACCAGACTATTATTATTAGTACTTGTGTTGTCATTGTGACTGGATCTCACATCGTTATTGAAACGACATAACCGAACATAGTATTATTGAAATAAAGCCTCGTCATTACGAACAGCAACCATGTGAGTCTTTCTATTATTATTAACTGTCTGTGTGGAAGTTGGCCTTTGCCGCGTATGCGTGTCCTGCCCACCAACTTCGCCCAGTCCGACATACGGTTCGTCGCGTAAGTCCGCCAGCACTCGCCGTGGTGTGTGGGAGGCCGCCCAGGTCATCATAGAGACATCCAGGTCCGCGTAAGTCCACCAGCAACGAACGTTGTGTGCGAGGCCGCCCAGGTCACAGTCGGTCCAGCTCAACCACAGCACAAGACTTCAATAGGATTAAGATAATTTTAAGTATTGGTCCTGTTTTTTTGTGAGCTCTGTGGTCATTGCACCAGACCGAACCGACCACAGAGACCCCCCTCCCCATAATTAGCTTGCACCATCCTATTTCCTTTGGTAGGGATCTCCCGTCCTGATCGTCGTCGTCGTGCGTAGAATTTCCTACCTTGCACACCTTCAGGTGAGGGCACCTATAGTTGCCTACCCACCCAAATAGTCGGCGCCAGTGGTGGCATTGGCCCACAACAATCATAATATCAGTTCTAGGGCGTTCCCCGAGTGGTCCTTCGGGAATGTGTTTCGTCAAGTGTCTTGGCGTACACATATTTTTGGTCCTTCGAACCGGATAGTTTAATACAAACCACGACTATGTATACGAACCATTTTTTGTTGTCCATGATCATTATTCTTCGTCGATATTATTCTTATTGTAAGACACAAACTAGTTCCTACATTTTTAAAATCTGTACTGTCGTCGAATTGTTGTGGACCTAGAAGTTAGTGAAGAATCTCACCTGTATATAGTCCACGTACCTGTTCTCCACGAACAATCTCATTACTTGCATCAACAAATTTCGAACAACAATGGCGGACGTTATTTACAACGACGCAAAGTCGCGCATAATTCGCTGCGTTACCAAATTGAAATCCTTTGCCCAAGCTTCTATTGACTTCAATAATGACAGTACAAACTCTGGTAAACGAGCCAATATTGCCAAAATGATTAGTGAGCTTGTTACTCTTCGTAACGCAGTTGAGGATGATGTCCAACGAATGGAATCAGCCGTTAATTCAAACACAGCCCCTGCCGAGATCACTGACAATAGTGAAAGTCAAACTCTTATTACGTCATTCGATAGTCTCCATTATGAACTGGCTGCGTTCGCTGATGTTCACAAGTTGACAATGTCATCCTCGATGGACGCAGCTGCTTCATCATTTTCAAATCAAACCAGTGGTCAACATCAATTATCCGCTTTTCAGTTACCTAAGCGTACATTCCCTGTTTTTTCCGGTGAGATGACCGAGTGGCAGGGCTTTGATGATTTGTTTAACTCCATACTATCGCACGCTCCTGAACTGCCGGACGTTGAGAGCTTTGAATTTCTGAAGATGTCTCTTAAGGGTGAAGCGCTATCACTTATCTCCCATCTCGCGTTAACGGCTACAAATTACACTAGTGCGTGGAAAATATTGCGTTCACGTTATGACAATAAGCGTGATCTTGCTCGTATTCACCTTGATGCTCTGCTCGCTAACCAAATTGTTAAGTCCAATGATGGCTCCTCTATTAAAACTCAGATCAATACGATCTTAGAGAACACTGCTGCTTTGGACAATCTTGACTTTGTAACCCGCCAATGGAGTCCACTTCTGGTGCACATCGTTGAAAAACACCTTGATTATGAACTTCGTGCTCGGTGGGAATTATCATTATCCTCAAATTTCTGACTTTGTTGACTTTTTGCGTACTCATCTGCGGTCTGCGGAAATTTATTCCAGTTGTTCATCATCTGACCGACACAATAGTGCATCGAAACCGCACAAGTCAGTTAAGCAGTCAAGTTTGAACCCTCGCTCTTCTTCAAGCGTTCTCGCCACCACTTCGAGTACTTCATCCGTCAAGCCGTGTCCACTCTGTAATGCACCTCATTCAATAAGGTCATGTACCCTATTTACTGACAAGCCTCCAAATGAACGCTTTCATATTGCAAAAACGCATCGTTTGTGTATAAATTGTCTGGGGACAGGTCACTCCTGAGAGCGATGCCCTTCAACCTATAAATGTCAGTCATGTAAGAAAAGTCATCACTCGCTGTTGCACTTTAATCCTACTGCTAATAAACAAATAGATATGATTTAGATAATCAAATTCGAGAAGTAGTTCGAGCTGTACATTCAACTGGATTGAATATAATATCAAGCATTTGTGATCAAGGAGTGACCAATACAGCAGCTATTAATATTCTTATGAACGACACCAAAGCACGGTATTTAAGAAAGAATGAATCATTCTATGGTGATTTCTATGAAATAGAATGTGAATCTGATAGCCATGCCAATGTAGTTAAAATTTTTCACTTGTATAATACACCATACCTTTTGAAAGGAATCCGTATCAATTTGTTGACAAAAAATGTAATATTTAATGTTGACTGTGAAAAATTAGCTCAATAGAGTGATTTATTCAAGTTATATGAATTGGACAGCAACATAGAAGATGTTAAAATGTTGCCTATGTTGACTAGACAACATGTCATACCTACAGAAATTCCGAAAATGAAAGTTAGAAATGCTGCTCAAGTGTTTAGCCAACGAGTTTCATCCATTATGGCATTCTTAGCAAGTGAGTAACATCAAAATAAAACTAATTAATATAATATATCATTTTGTTTTATTAAACGTATTTTACAGCTCAAAATATTCTTGGAGATACAGCTGGAGATACTGCAAAATTTTGTTTATTTTTTGACAAATTATTCGACTCAGTTAATGGAAACTTTGATAAAGTAGTTGATGGAAAGATTTATAGAACAGGAGTAAAAATTCTCCTCATCACAAATTGTGGGAAGAGTCTTTGAAAGTTTCGAGTACCATGAAATTTGTGAATCCTTCTACTAACAAACCATGTACTCCACAACCACCCACATTAAAGAATTGGATTAAAACTATTAAAAGTAAGTTCAACTTTTTTTAGTAAGCGAATTATTTACCTAATTATTTATTAATCCAAAGCAGGTTTTCAAAATATATTCAAAACATTAAATGACAACGGTATAAGATATTGTCGCCTAGGCATTTTAACCAAGATTCTTTGGAGAATTTATTCGGTACAATACGGGCTTTAGGATATAGAAATAATAATCCGACATGCGAAATATTTGCCTCAGCATACAAGACCTTACTCCTCAACAACTTAATGTCAGCACATTCTCCAGGTAGTAACTGCGAAGAAGGTTTCTCAAGTGGCTCTTTGACTTCTTACCAAACATTATTTGAAACGTATACAAACTGTGAAGCAAATACCATCGAACATGAAATCGAAGAACGAGTCGCTGATGTTTTGCCAAAAAAGTTTGTAGACAATGATTATAATTTAACATTATTAGGAAGTCAAACCCAGAACTATATAGCAGGATATATTGTAAAAAAGTTGAATTCTGTCTTGTTTAAAAACTGCCGTATATGTCTAAATGAAATTTGTTCAAAACTGTTAAATGACCATCAATTAATTTAGGCTAGAGACTATAAACATAATGATAATTATCTACTGAAATATCCGAATTCTAAATTTTGTATGTTGGTGCAAAACGTAATTAATATTATTTTTCATAATTTACCTAATATATGCCATCATAAAAATTTGAAAATAGAGTTGATTAATATTATTGAAGAAAAAGTTGATATAAAATGCATAACATGTCCTAAAAATGGATATAAAATTAATTCTTCCACGAAAATTTATTAATTTTTCGTAAAATTTATGGTACATAATTGGTGAACGCAAATAAATAGAATTTTATCTGGCAAAATTAATTTAAATAAAAATGAATCGGATAAAATTAAAATAAATGCTTTTGAAAGGTAAAAATTGTTTTCTAGAAAAAAAAGGTCCTCTTAAGATATTATTATTAAATTATTATATTATTCACCTTGTTAATTTTAATTTTGAAATATGTGTAAATATGCCTATTGACTAGATGTATGTTTATTATACCTAGCTATAACCAGTGTTGTACAAAATACTTTTTCAAAGTATTTGAGTATTACTCGAATATTTTAAAATACAACCCAAATACTGTAAACAGTAAAGTATTTGAGTAATACTTTTCAGAAGGTTAGGTTTCATTTATTCACTTTGTTACTTTTAATTTTGAAATATGTGGCAATATTCCCATTGACTAGATATATGTTTATTATATTGTTAATTATTAAGTATAAAATATATGAATGAGAAATGTAACAAAAGTTCCAACTAATTTTGTATTTGTATATTTAAAATGTATGTTTTATATTATAATATATTCTTATTATTTCATAGTTTTTGTTTATTGTTTTAGTATATTGTAATAAAAACTAATTTAATTTATTTTTGGTGTTTGTTTTATTAATTTCAATTGAGTATTTAAAATAATAATTAACAGTGGTTAATGCGCTTGTCGCGGTCGTTATCGCAACGACCGCGGTGTCTCCACAGAATAGATGAAATCAGAATGGACACTCTCCAAAAATTTACATGTGCTCTTATGGCAGACACAGTATTTTAGCCTAAAGTGCCACCAGTGTTACCAAAAAGTACAGTAAAAAAAATATTGTATACAATTTTATTATTTCGACCGAATTGGCGGTTTCTTTGAAAATTCTGTAATTAACAATATAATATATTTTCAATGGATAATGTATATTTCATTAATAAGAGTAATAATATACTAATATTTATATTTAATATTTCATTAATATAATAATATGAAAGTAACTGCAGGTTTATGTATGGCAGTTAATGCGATCTACAGATATGATTTTCGACCTTCCAATAAAAGTAATTCCCTTATCGCGGTAATTGTCTTCACGGAAATACCCGTGGTATTACTTTTTGTACTCCATAGGCGGAAATTTGGTGAAATTACTGGGGGGGGGGGCTGAGCATTATATTTCTCATTGTACCTATATAGGCACTATTGTACTAGAGTCGCTCGCTATTATTAATTTCAACAAGACAATTTACAAAGTTCGACATACTAAACAATTTAACCTTAATAAAGTACAAAAACAATAATGTGCCATAGGTACCTTGAACATTTTATTTTAAACAAAAATAGCATTACATTTATTTTATTATTAAGTTATTAAATTAATTGAATTATAACCAATTTAATATAAGATGTTAAAACAAAGAAGCCAAGTATATAACATAATAAGTGTACTTATATATTTATTTCAGCACAATATATCGGTTTTTATTAGAAAAAGCATTAACTATATCAGTATCTGATTTTGTAATTCAGATATTAAAAATACACTATTGTACAAAATTGTGAGGGCCAGGGGGGGCTAAGACCTGTACTTTAAAATTCTGAGGGTGCTTAGTCCCCTCTAGCCCCCCCGATTTCCGCCTATGTTGTACTCCCTATACAAATTAATTTACTACTGACAAATATAGTATAATGTATATTTGTATAGTTACTCCAGTAGTCCAGTGACTGAGTGACAGTGTAGTATGTGATGTAATTACTAATTGAGTGCGCATGTCGTTTATTTATTGAATGATTTACTTTTACATCTTTTTATGTTTAAACGAGAATTATTATAATGATATTTACAAATCTAGAGGGGTTAGGTATGTATAATATTTAAATTAGATACAATATTAAACAAAATGTACTTCTCTACTATCAAATATACAGTGAGTGGCGGAGATTGCGCCACTAAAACTATTTAATTATTTTACTAACCAACTTCTATTTGGTGAACATTTAAAAGTGAGTTAAATTGTAAACTAAATATATTTATGCAAGTCACATAAATCATTAAATCCGGATCCAATTCAAAACTTTTGCAGTCTTTAATACAGCATTTACCTTTTCTAAAGCGTTTATTTAGGAAGTCCATTATCATTATCCATTAAATGGTTGTGGCGTAAAATTACAAGAATTTCAAAATATCTAATTAAGTATTTACCGAGGACTTGTAGAGGTCTCGTGACTCGTGTTCACTTTTTAAGAAATATGAAAAGTGAATTTTTAAGTTTTTTACAAACCAGCCTTAAAAAAGCAGTTTGTTTACAAACAAATCCAAATAAAATGGATGCTCAGAGTGGTCTTTTGCGACATAAATCAAAAATTAAAAATAGTTTTATTACATGGCTACACTGGTGGCACTTCAGTTATTATCATGGTTTTTGGAGAGTGTCCATTCTGATTTCATCTATTCTGTGGTGTCTCTAACGACGTTCGCGAGATCGCGACCGACAACCGGTCTGGCCGCCGCCTGCGGCACGGCCAGCGGCGGCGGTGACGGGGTCATCTCTTGCCGGACCGTTGTCAACGCCGCACGCATCATAATTATATCAATTATATTAATATTATATGCAATATATATAATTCTATTCTGTTGAACGTGTCCGTGTCAGTTACATTCATTTCAAACCGTTCCTACACCTACACGCTCAGCGCCTGGGGTTGGCAATCTTTATCCGCGGCGGCGGGCTGAGCTATGAGAGGGTTTAGAGAAGGGATCGAAGTTTCATGCACCAGCCACCAGGAGCGCAGTGTTCAATGTCCCGAATAATAACATTGCGGTTGTCTATCTATTAGTATACTTGTCTATGGTTAGTAGATAGGTTATGTAGCTATGAGCGCAGTCGGTTTTTTTTACAATCAAAAAATCACCTTAAAATTAGCTTAATTCAACATTTTTACATCAAATTTTGATTTTTTTACATCGAATTTTGAGTGCTTTTTTTGTATACAATTTATATACAAATACAATGATATTTAACATATTTTGTATAAAATATAACACGGTCGAATAATCCGACCATGTCAGAATTTAACACGTCCGTAAACTACGGACGTGTTATTATTGTCACCAAATCCCATAAATTCCAATAAATTCTCTTTAATTTTATTAATCTTACGTTCCCCTGAAACTAGGGAATACGTGTCAGGTTTTGTATAAAAACTTTTATATTTTATATCTATATTTAACGCGTGTCCAATTCGGACATGCGTTATTAATATCACAGAATATCAAAATTTTTTTGTTATCATATTATCAGTATTTAACGTTATCATATTATTATCATTATTTAGCGTTATCATATTATTATCATTATTTAATGTTATCATATTATTATCATTATTTAATGTTATAATATTATTATCATTATTTAATGTTATCATATTATTGTTATTATTATTCATATTTTATTTGACCGCGGACCTCGTAGGACCGCACGGCGGCGCTTATTATTATCATTATTTAATGTTATCATATTATCATTATTTAGCGTTTTCATATTATTATCATTATTTAATGTTATCATATTATTATCATTATTTAATATTATCATATTATTATCATTGTTTAATGTTATCATATTATTGTTATTATTATTCATATTATATTCGACCGCGGACCTCGTAGGACCGCACGGCGGCGCTTATTACTATTAGAACAGTTGAAAGCGCAAACAATTTCGAACCCGCTACCGGCAGGACACATGCACACTGTCGTATATTGTAGACAGTCGTCAAAATATTATTTCATATATGTAATAGAGGTGGGAACATTTTAAATTGTAAACTATTGACATAGGTCAGTGAAGCATATGTGCTGAGACAGCGATAAGATTACTATATAACACCGCCGCACGCGCAGGCACGAGGGGAGTCCCGTTGTCGCCGAGTGAATCGGCGAGGACGTAGGTACTGTGGTCGTACGTGTGAAACGTCGATCGTAGTACGGGCTAGGCAATCCGGATTTGCTAAGTTTTTCATTTATGTTTGTTTTAATATAATAAAAGTGTTTCCGACCTAAAAACCCGAGTTGAGTTTTATTTCAAAGTCTTCTTCGTTCTTACCTTTAATATTGGAACAGTGCCGGTTTTAAACACCTGATGAAAGAACTAGTGCCTTCATACAAAATTCCTTCTTCAGCCACTCTTAAAAAGGTTCTAGATACCAAATATGAAATAACCAGGTTATCATTAATGAATAAACTAGCGGAAGTTCAACATATGTCAATGACATTTGACATTTGGACCGAAACAATGACAGAGACAAGTTACCTAGGTGTAACTGTGCACTCCCTGGACAAGATCTTACTAAAGTCGTAATTTTTAGCTGTCTGTCAACTGAAGGAAAAACATACAGCTGAATATATATCTTGTGTATTCAATGATATGTTAAAAAATTGGAATATTAAGAAAGAACAAATTATAACTCTGATAACAGACAACGGGGCGAACATGATTGCTGCCGTTAACAAAGTGTTGGGTAAAAATAAGCACACGCCATGTTTTGCCCACACTATCAATCTAGATTCAGAAGCTGTAATAAAACATCCAAGTATTGAGCCACTGATATCAAAAGTACGGAATGTTGTTCTATGGGTAAAGAGAAGTGTAATTATAAGTGACATGTTAAGAAAAGTTCAAATAGACAAAGGAGTAGCTGAAGGTTGTGTGAAAAAAATGATACTAGATGTAAAGACAAGGTGGAACTCAACATACTACATGATAGAACGTTTTCTTGAAATGGTAAATTTAATTAGTCCACTTACATTGCAGCATATTTCATCGCCATATATGCCAACAGCCATCGAAATAAACACTCTAAAGCAGTTTAAAGAACTATTAAAACCATTAGAATTTGTCACCAGAGAATCTTCTGGTGACAAATATGTCACTATATCAAAAATCATTCCTATGGCTAACTGCTTAATGGCTCAGGTAAACCTATTGAAACCTAGCGAGGTTATTATTCAAGACGTTCATGACAAATTACAAGCGGAATTAACAAAACGTTTTGGTCAAATTCAGTATGTTACACCAATTGCCATCTCAACTCTTTTAGATCCAAGATTTAAGAACTTACATTTTAATGACCCCAATGCTTGCTCTCGTGCAATGTCTGCGTTGAGAGACCTTACTCGGATCGATACTTCGTCAAGTGAGTCAGAAGGAGAAGCTCCACCTGAAAGTACTTATGACTTTTGGGCCATTCACAAAGAGTTAGTCCAAAGTCAGGGTCATAAAAAGAAAAAAACAAGCCATGGTAATGCAGGTGATGAGTTGTCCCTATACCTAGCCAACCCAGTGATGCCTTTAAATTCAAATCCCTTAGAACAATGGGAAGATATGAAGAACATATTTCCATTGCTGTACAAACAAGCTAGAATTCATTTCTAAATTGTTGCCACATCAGTACCCTGTGAGAGGCTTTTTTCGAAAGCTGGTGCTACTATTAACCAAGCAAGAAATCGATTATCTAGCTCTAGGCTAGAAAATCTACTGTTTTTAGGGGACTTCCCAGAGGAAGAGTGGTTTTCATGATTGAATCATTTTTTTTAATGAAAAATTCATGTACTGATATACTTTTAATGACTAATGTTTTGCTTGTGTACCATTGTTCTTTTTTTCCATACCTACAGGCTACAGTGGTCAGTGACGAATGACGATAAAATATTAATATTTATTATTATTTATTTGCTCTTTTTTTTTTTTTTATCGATATCAGTAATATCGATATTTTGTTTCGATATTTTGTTGGTATCGATATTAGCTTTCGATTCGATACCAAGTGAAAGTATCGAAAAAAATGTTTCGATATAACATCCCTATGCACACGCATGAACCCATCAGGCCACGGGTACTTGATGGTAATTCAATGGAAAAAGGTACATTTAAGAACACATATTATATTATATTATTATATTATATTATGTTGTATACAATATTACAATATTCCAATTTATTATGATATAGAAATAGAAATTTCTTAATAAAAAAAATATAAATAGATATCACATTATACCCATTCTTTAGCAAGTTTAGGATTTATAAAAATACTCTCTATTTGATCCTTAAAAGTATAAAAGTTGTTTAGTGTCATACATAAATCTCCTATTTTACTATAATTTGACCACAATAATCCTAGCCAACGTAGTTTTCTAACATATCTTCCAGATAAATTAAGATTTATAAATTTTTTTATAATAGCTTCAGTTGTTAAATTTGTTCTACATTCGTGTTTATTATTCATATGTTCTATAACAAATTTTTGTAAGTAAAACCCATAAATACAAAATTTTTTTAAGAGTTTTTGTTCATCATTAGAAATTATTGATTCACAACTTTTTACAATTGTAATCAATTCATCATAAGTAGCATTATGTTTTAGACTTTGATGGTTAGTAAAAATATTATTATTATTCCAGTAATTAATTTTGAACGTACATCATTAAACTTTTCATTAGTATCTATACCAGCCATAAGTTCTAATAATTCTGTTAAATAACTAAAAAATATTCTTAAATCTTCTACCGCATCATTAACATTGAATTCTTCAGCCGCTTCGGAAGTTGATGTAGATTGTATATTAAATCCGTCTAAATCATTGTTATCCATTCTGAAGTTGATGTAGTTGAAATTATTAAAAATTTTAAGATACTTTTATAGATACTATTTAACTTTAAACACGTTTAATAAATTATCAAACAAAAAGTATAATAGACCTTCCAATTGGAAATATATGACTCAACTAAAACAATATTCTAGAAGAAATTTTTAATAATAATTAAAATAATAAATAATAATTATAATCATGTAAATATCTTCTAGAATATTCGATAGCAATTAAACATCTATTAACTAGAGGGCAGTATATATTTCATTTTTTAAAAAAATAGATTTTATAGAAATTAGTTAATATTTTATGTTTTAATAAAACCACTTTTTAAAGAATTACATTTTTTACATTTTGCAGACATTCTTTTCAAATTATTTTTAGTCATAATTATATGTGGATTAATATTATCTGTTTTTTGTTTACATTTAACACAATATATATTTCCCATTTATAAGAAATTAAATTAATATAATGTTTAATTATGCTGTATACTTATAACCGTTAAGTTGTGTCTGTTTTAAATATTTTTCTCTAGGGAAAAAGTTAATAGTTTCTTTAAAATCTTTTTAATATTCTTTTAAACATATGCCATCCTCGATTATTTTATTAGATTTATACAGCAATATCAATTGATTATAAAATGTATTCATGTTATGATTGTTTGATATCTAGTGCACGGAAAATCGATGCACGTTAGAAGCTGATAAATTTATATATAATAATAATATTAATATATACATTTATATTTAAATAATGGGTAAACTTTATAAACAATTGGAATCTTTGGCCAAAAAAGAAAGAATTATTATTAATAATAAAGGTATTGAAAATATTGATAATATAGTTAAGCAAAAGAATAAAATTCTTAGTTTGTTAATTAAAAAATATAAAAATATAATAAATACACCCAAAAGTACTTATGTTTTAATATATTTATTAAACATGTTGATAGGCCAGATAATTTATTCTGTTATGAACGTATTGATAATTGAATGGAAAAAGGTATGCCTATTTAAGAACACAATATATATATGTGTATATTTACGCAAGCGTTAAATATAGAATTTATGAGTTTTTACAAAGAAGCTAACACTCAACCGTATTGGGTGAGTGTAAAAAATAGGCATAAAATGTATAACGTGATCTGTTTTTCCGGTCACGATTTTATTGAAGAATAACTGAGAATTTGAAATTATTATAAACATTTTATAGAACTATCTAGATCTATGTTTTTAGAATTAAATATGTAACAAAGTCATTACATATTATTTCAATACCATCTTGATCGGTGATAAATAATTTAATACGTTTAAAATCTATTGCATTTAGAGGAATATATTTAATGTAATTAGCTATACCTATATTGGCCACCCTTATCACATTTAACAACACATAAAATATCATCGTCTATATGCAAATATTTCACAGTTTTATGGTTAGAAATGGAATTTTCAGTTATATTGCAATGTACTTCGATTAACTTATTTTCAAAATAATTACTGAATATAATATCTAAACCAATATGATTATGGATATATTTTTTATTTATTCCTAGGCTTGATGTTAAATTTTCATCCAATAAATAATAAATACTAGATATTATTGTAATTTGTTTATCTGTTTGTTGTATTTTTATATTTGATGGTAGTATTTTATTTAATTGATCAATAGTATAATTTTTCTTTCCTATTATAGTTTTGCTATTTTCTGTTTCGATAACACCATTTATTTCTTTTAGGAAACCTTGAGTGTAAAATGTTGGCATTAGTGTACCATTTACAGTTCGTTTAAATGATTGTTCAGTTTTATAACTTGAAGAAGAATTAAACAATGGAATTCCTAAACAATTAGTTAAATAAGAGTCAAAAACATACTCATAGTTAGTTGAAATCACTATAATCTATTAACCACTGTAATTTTAGTATTAACAACGTTCTTGTCTGGATTTAATAAATTTTGAATTTCATTAATAGAATATACTCCAATAGGTATTTTATGTGAATCTTTTTCTACTTTAAACTCACATTCCTGTTCAATATTTATGTAATATTCATCACTAGTGGGATAGTAAATTTCTTTGTCACATGTCGTTGAACAATATATAATACCATTAAAACCTAAATATTTTTTTAATTTTTCATCCAAACTATAGTAAAATGGAGATTCTATTTTAATTTTTTTATCAACAAAAGAGATAATTAATGGTTTTATTAATTTATTTAACTTTTCAACAGTATAAAGCCCACTTTTAATATCAATTACGTTAGTATTAATTGTTATCTGACAATCATTTTCTATTTTGATTAAATCACCAGAATTGGTAAATGACAAAGCATATAATCCAATAGACATATTTTCTTCATTATTATGAATATAATAATCTAAATGAATAGACCCATTTATGATTTTAATTAATTTCATTTAATAGAGAAAAATTTTAATAATTTATTGCTATTTTGCAAGACGCTGGTCTTACGATTATTCAAATTCTATCAAATGGATTGTGTTGCGCCGTTACCGATTGCGGTTGTCGGCAACGACTTGCGTAAAGTGTTGAAGGCTGGAGCGGGGACGGGTTACTCAATATATGCGTACAACTCAAATGTGAGGTCGGAAACACGTTTAATGTGTGTAACAAAATATGATAAATAAATAACCGGCGCTCGAAATAAAAATTACCGATTCTTTCCTCTCAGAACGTACCTTTTCTGTCAAAATTGAAAACCAAAACTCGTCACTAAGAAAGGCTAACGCGGGCGTGCCACAAGGTTCTTGTCTTTCTCCTACGCTCTTTAATATTTATACAAATGACCTACCTACGAATATTAATTCTCGAGTTTCTCTATTTGCGGATGACACAATGTTTTATTGTGCAAACCACAATGCTCGTTTTGCATCTTTACAGCTTCAAAAACAAATAAACTTGGCAACAGACTGGTTCAAAAAAATGGTGACTTGGTATAAATGAATCCAAAACCACAGCAATCCTGTTCGGCCGTACAAAGACTACAAATATCAAAAATATCCAAATAAATAACATTCAAATCCCTTGGTCCAGGAGCGTTAAATATCTAGGAGTAACAATATTGACCATAAACTAAACTTTTCTACTCACGCATCAAACATTGTCAAAAAAGCTACTCAAATTCGCGGCCTCCTATACTCAGTTTTAACCAAAAAAAGCCCAATCCCCACCAGAACCAAACTAAACCTTTTCAAAATGTACATTATCCCTATCTTAACTTATGCCGGTGAAGCATGGGCACACTTCATCAGCAAATCTACATGGAGGAAAATTGAAGCAGTACAGACAATAAGTATCAGAGTAATACTAGGTCAACCGTCCATCGTAAAAAACTCTGTACTTCTTCACACAACCGGTCTCATCCCTATCAAGCACTTAACCAAAAAGAATGCCTTAGCAACCTTCCACCGAATCTCAACTTCTCAATACAATCATATAAGGAATATTGGTCAGATTTCCCACCCATCCCATGCCTCTAGACATAAACAACGGCCTAGAGTAAAACTGTGGGCAGCAAGTTAAATATATAACAAAAATTAAAAAGAATCCTCAGTTGCAAATTCCACTTTGACATCCAGCTACTAGCAAAGGCAAAAAGCCTGGTATAGTATATAGGCGTAAAGCCGTCCTACCAAGTAAGTAAGTAAGTAATATAGTATAAATTAACATAACAACTAAGTACCATAGCTGGTGAACAATAATTATATAAAGAGCCCACTGACACGTGGGACTAAAAAACAATGAATAAACCTGACGACGGCTACTGCGTGGCTCGGCGACTGCGTCGATCCTTGGTGCTGACTGCTGACCAAAGTAGGTACCTCGCCGGAACGGCGACGGCGGACAAATCTTCAGCTCGTCGCTCGACGATGATAGCTCGTGGTTCCACGCGACTAGCGCGAACGCGAACTCGAAATAATGTTGACGTAGGTACTTCCGTAAGAAACACTCGCGATCACGCAGAGGATACTAAATATGAGAACGGCGTGAATATACGAAAACGGAAGCTCGATGTGAGCGTAGTGACGGACGTCGATCACGACGAAACCGATGAACAAAACATGCGTGCTCACATGCGACTTTTATTTCACGCGGAGTTACGGGCGCGTACCACAACAGCGACGACAACGTGAAATGTAAATTTGGCCGTAGGTGTCTACCGTGACCGCTGATCACAGCTCGGGCCTCACAGTTTACCCACCTCGTGTTCACACGAGTTTGTACAGGAACGCACGACACACGCGGAGAGCGATAGCGCGGACGTTGCGCTACGTTCAGCCGTTGGAAAAAGACAGTTTTTAAAATGTTCACGACGGCCGATGGCCAGCTCGACGGCCGTCGACGGCGGCGCGGGACTACGGAGCGGGAAAGCGTCGCTCGGAGCTTCGACGTCTAACGCGACTTGGAGTGTCCGTGCTTTTGCCTTTGTTTTTGCGGCAAACCCGTTCCGCGTTCGAACAGATTGTTTTCCTATTATCAAGAGTTTTTTTACCCTTATATTTTATATACATTTCGCCATCATATCTGTCTATATCTAACTCAGAAATAATATTAACAAACCTTTGGGGCAATAATAGCATATCCTTATTGTTTAATAAAACAGAAACTCTTTCACCATATTTTGTATCTAATTTTCTAATTGTTGTTATTTTATAAAGTTCATTGATATTTAAATCAGATAATTTTGTATATTTGTAATCTTCTTCATTTAATTTCTTTAATACTTTAATTACAGTAGTGTCAAAAGAATGATCTTCAAACTCTATACGATGGTATGAATCTCCATTATCAAGTATTTTTTTATACCTGTAATAAAGGTAAAGTGTAAACCCCTCTCTATCATTCATTTCATATATATTTTCAGAAATAGTCTTAAAAAATCTATCTGGTAAAATGAGTTTATATTTATTATCCAATACAACAGATACTTTATCCTGCCCATTAATGTTAACAAGTTCAAAAGCAGTAACTTCATATCTTTTGTCAGGTACCAGTTCTGATAATTTAATAAATTTATACTTGTATCCATATTTATTTAATCGCACTTTTAAGTCTACTGAATCAGACATTTTTATATTTATATATATATTTAATAAGAGAAAAATTTAATAGGAATTTTAATTTTTAAGCTTATATTAATTTTCTATATTAAATGGATAAAAAATATGAAATTACATTGTTTCATTTAGATAATAATATATCAAAATCAATACTTCCAATACCTATGAGATGTTTAATTATAGGTTCATCTGGATCAGGGAAAACTAACTTATTATGTAATATTATGTAGGTAAGTATTGGATTCCTTATGAAAATCTTTATATTTTTACAAAAAATATATAGCAACCAATTTATGAAAGTATAAAAGAAGTATTTGCAAATTTGAATAATGTAGAGTTTATTATTTTTTTTGGTTATAATGTATACAACCAATGAAGAGATAATATCTGTTGATGACTGTAAACCAGATAGCTTAGTCGTTTTTGATGATTATATTTTAGATAAACAAGATAGAATAAAAGAATATTTTGTAAGATCAAGATCTAAAAATATTTCATGTATTTATATAAGTCAGAATTATAGTTGATTAGATTTAAAAGCAATCAGAACAAATTGTAATTTTTTAATTATATTTAAGCAGTCAGATTTTTATATTGGGAGAATATGGAAAGATTTTTTGAGTAATGATATAGTTTTTGATAAATTTAAATCTTTATGTTCAACTTGCTGGAAAAATAAGTTTGGGTTTATTTCAATTGATTTAACAGGTATAAACATTTATAATAGATTTAAAAAGATATGAATTTAGACTTAAACATTAACGCAAACGTCAACGCATAACGTTAACGTATAACGTTAACGCAGAACGTCTATTTAAAATATAATGGTTATCGAACATATATTTTAACGTTTATTAATTTTTTTTATTATTAAATGGATATAAAAGGTATGAGGAATATTTTTTTAAAAGAAATGGGAAAAGTAATGAAAAATAGAAAAAAAGGAGGCTTTGTAACGAAAAAAGGAGAAGATATAACGTCTGTTAAAGAAGCAGATGAAATAATTAAACTTGAAAATAACCTGAAGAAGCGGCTTAAAAATGCAGCTTTAAGAAACATATGTATTGAAGAAGAAAAAGAGAAATCATTTGGACCTGTAACAAATTTATTTATTTATTTATTTATTTATTTGTTTATTTAACGCCAATCGGCAATTCAAGAGATTTACAATACAAGTTATATACAGAGAAGATTAAGTAATAATGTGATAGAGTAATCTTATATAAAAACGAGGTGAAACATAGTAAGTTACAGAGCAAACAACTAAATATTTAGTACAAATAAAAACATAAAAATATAATGAAACTAAAAACTAACTAACTTAAGTAATATATACATTTAAAATATCATGATCTATTAGTTATTGAGCAGACGAAGCATTCTGTGTAAAGGATGGTTATGAGAGTAGTTGAAACGGTGAGAAGGGACAAGGAAAAGTGAGTGATTTCTAGTGTAATGTACAGGAACGCGGAAAGAGATAGAGGAAAGAAGGTCAGGGGCATCAACAGTGCCATTAAGAAGAGAGGTGACAAAGGAAAGGTCAGCCTCTATACGGCGAGAAGAAAGAAGAGGGATATTCAAGGAAGATCTAATGGATGAATAGTCATGGGGCGGGTGAACAATCTTGAGCAGAAAAGCAGCGTATGAGAGGAATCGATTTTGAACTCGCTCTAAGCGTAATTGATCTTTAGCCAAATATGGATGCCATACAACAATTCCATATTCCAAAATAGAGCGGACAAGAGAGAAATAGAGGGAACGAAGACAAGTGGAGGACGTGAAAAGGCTAGTGTTGCGCTTTATGAAACCTAGGACTTTTAAGGCTCTACCAACTGTTATATTAATATGCTGTTCGAAAGAAAGAGATGGAGTTAGGTAGATACCAAGGTCTTTGACAGAAGAAACACGTTCGAGTGGGGAGCCATTGAGGGAATAAGGGAAGATAATATGTATTCGCTTTCTGTGGAATGTCATACTATGGAACTTGTTGAGATTGAGCGTAAGGCCTATACTCTGAGTCCAGAGACAGAAGGAGGCGAGATCTGACTGAAGTTGACGGCAGTCGGAGATAGAAGCAACTTTAGAATAAATTTTAATGTCATCCGCAAATAGAAGGACTTTGGAGAATGAAAGGTAATTGTTAATTGAGTTAATAAAAATTATGAACAGTAGAGGACTAAGATGTCCTCCTTGAGGGACTCCAGAAGGAGTTATAGACAAGTCAGAGGTAGCACCATGGATTTTCACAAATTGCATTCTTGGACTGAGATAAGATTGGAGCCATGATAGTAAAGGGTTCCCTATACCGAGTGATTCTAGTTCAGAGATAAGATGGCTATGGATAACCGAGTCAAAAGCTTTACTAAAGTCAGTGAACACGGCATCAACTTGGCAATCGGACTCAAAGCTCTCCAGAATATAGGACGTGAGAGCTAGGGTACAGGTGGTAATTAGATTTCCCAGGACGAAAACCATGCTGGTCAGCCACTAATATATGGTTAAGACTTCTTTTGATATTAGTGTATACAATGGACTCAAGTAGTTTTGAAATGTGGGGAAGAATAGAAATAGGCCTGTAATTAGAAACAAGTGAGGGATCACCAGATTTAAAAACAGGGGTAACAGAGCTGGTCTTCCACCCAGCAGGAAAAATACCTTCATCGAGTGATTGTCTAAAGAGCAGAAATAATGGGTAAACAATGGAGTCTTGACAGTTAAAAAGTAAACGTGCAGAAACACCATCAGGACCATTGGAATTGTTATTTTTTAGGGAGTTAAGTGCAAGTTGCACATCATCAAGAGTAATGAGGCAATTAGAAGGAAGTTCGTACGGATATCTATTATTTGTAAGGGGATTAAAAGGTGGAGAAATAGAGGGATTATACATGGAATAGAAGTACTTAGATAACAAATTGGGAGAATCACGAGGATTATCAGCCGTAGTGGTATCCCAACGTAAGGTGGAGGGTAGCGTGTTGTGCTTACTGAGATTTTTAGTATACTTCCAAAAGGAAGAGGGGTTGTGAGTGAGCGAGTATTCTGTATGTCTTATATATGACTGATAGTCTATCTTAGAAGTGTGTTTACATTTCGCACGCAGCTCAGAAAAAGCTAAGTAGTCGCATGGCAACTTAGTCCGCTTAAAAACTGCATGGGCACGCTTTTTCTATAAAATAAGATTTTTAAGTGTGGGAGAGGTCCAGAGAGGAAATTTTGGTAACTTGTAAATTTTTGTAGGAACAAACAACTCAATGGAATGAAGCAGGGCTTCATTAAAAATAGAGGCAGCACCGTCGATTGAATATTGTGAAAAGGTAGACTCCCAGTTAAATGAGTTAAAAAATTGCGATATACCAGAGTAGTTTGCATCTTTGAAGTCTTTATAGGTATGGGTGTTATCTGCCACATTATCAGATTGGAAAGGAAAGATTATGTGAAGAGGCGGGTGATAAGGGCCAGGAATAACAAGTGATTCAGTTGCTGTACTGCTAGTGACTTTATTGGAGTTTGAAAAAATAAGATCTAGAATGCTGCCATGACTATTAGGAAGGAAGTTATGTTGAAAAAAATTTAAGTAAGAAAAAGAGTCTATAATAGATGTGGTAACCATATTGTGATCACTTGTGGCAATTAATCCTAGTTCATCAGATGACCATGTAACATTAGGTAGATTGTAGTCACCACAAAGGATAACTGATACAGATTTATAGGAGGATATGATTTGCTCAACAGAAGCAACGTGGGATTCAACTACAGGAAGAGGAGAGTGTGGAGGTAAATAAACACCACCTACCAATAAATAATTAGAGTTGAAGGACAGTAAGGCAAATATTTGCTCAACATTCGAGGTACTTAATGTAATAGGATGGTATTTAATGGAATTATTGATGGCAATTAATACTCCACCTCCTCGGAGAAAAGAACTGTTGTTTGGATTTCTATCGAGTCTAATCACCTGAAAGCCATGAAAACCTAATTCACTATCACTTATGGCAGGTGTTAGCCAAGTTTCAGTGAGGATAATGACGTCATAAAAGTTAAACATTGGGAAGGAACATCTGAGATTGACTAATTTGGTTTTTTGGGCCACGTACATTTTGATAGAATATTTTTAGATTGGAATTAAGGGCCTTATTACATAACTTATTGCTTTTAGTATTAGAATTATCATCTGGTTTAGAAAATGAAGTTTTAAAGTTATTAAAATACAATACGAAGGGTTTTAAAGTTTGTTGAGCTGAGTGGCAGCGGGTACAGTAAGACGATTGAGATTTAAAGTTATACATACAGTTGTGGTGTAGATCTGAAAGACATGAGCAGTAGTAGAAGAAGGCTTTGTTCGAAGCAGGAGGCGGTTGATTAGGCAGTGGCAGGTCGGTACTTGTTAGTTTTTTGGATGGACAAATGTAGAAGTAGACGTATGATGGCGTCTGGTCTGCGATGACCGAGAAAGTGGCACAATGAAGGGGAATCCATCTCTGTAGTTGATCGTCAGGTCAGTTTCTCCGTTCATTTTACGGTTTTCCAATTCGGTGTATACAAGACGGATAGACTCTCGTTCAAGTGGGGTGCGATCACGGGTCATAGTGACAGAACGAGGCCTGCTGTCAGGGGGAAGGCCTCTGGCATTTTTACTGAAGTAAGAAACTAGTTTGAGAGCTATTTCTTTGGAAGAGAAGAATACCTTGAGAGGTCTCGGACCCCTATCATTAGGTTTGCCAAGTCTGATTGACTTTAGATTAGCAACTGCTTCAGGAAAGTATGGGTCGATTGTCTCAGCTATTTTCGAAGTGTCATCTGAGATTCTTTCTTCTATAACAGAAGATGACGATTCCTTTAATCCACGAATAATGACATTCCGAGAGCATCGCTCACGTTCGGAGATCTCTTGAAGAATGCTAGGGACAGTGCCAGCCGAAAAAGTAGGACGACAACTGTTTGCCGCTTCAAGGTCTTGGATACGCTTGTTGAGATTAGAGATGTTCTCACGAAGATTGTCATTGTCTAATTTTAAGTCCGCCACCTGAGTTGACAGATGACTAATGCTTTCTTTCAGCTCAGTAAAATTAGAACTTTGGGATTCACATAGTAGTTTACATTGGTCCAGGGTTTCAATTTGAGTTTTTTGGTGCTCAGCCATAGTTTTGTTAAAAACATCTAAGGTTAGTAGAGCGGCTGTTTTGGCACGAGTAGCAACTTGGGAGACAGCATTTGGAGTTGTCGGGGGCATAGCTCAGCAAAAACGAACGTCACAAATTAACCTGTTCCTTTAAGAGAGAAGATGCAACCAAAGTTACAGCGATGCGTGCGGAATGAAAAGTAGTACTATTACTAATACTAATAAAGTTTGTATCCACGCGTCAAAGTCTCCAAGAGAACGGAGGTGAAGAAACAGCTGATACGTAATCAGCCAGACTAGTCCAAACAATTGTTGATAAGAAGTAGACTGTACTCACGATAGTTCTCTGCCAGAAAGATGAGTGACAATTTTTTGACTGTTCCACTGCAAAATATAGATGGATAACACGAACAAGGTTTGAGAGAGTTTAGACGTAAAAGCAAAAACACTTCAAGTGAAGAAAAACACACAAATACTCCAGAAAAAAATATACTTTATAGAGAACAGTAGGTACTTGTTATCACAACACAAATTTTGAATTAAAAAATATTGTAATTGCAGTTAATGAAGTTAAAGAAATATATATTAAAACTGATGAAGATATTCACAAAATGCTAGTACCCTTAAGGCGCCCTGAAATGTTAAGGTTGGCAGATCCAATTAAACCAACTTTAGGTGCTAAATCACCTTTAGAAATAAGATCACCAATTAATAAAAATATGTCCCCAAAAACACCAACAACCCCCACGATAGTTTTAGGGCCATTAAAAACTAAGTATCTACCTCGTATTAAAGATAGTTCTTATGGTATATATCATAACGCTAAGACTAATAATTATATGATTGGAAAAGATGTAGTAACTCTCAAAGACGATAATTTAATTATAGATGGAAAAACATATAAAGAAACAGTAGGATTATTTAGATTATTATGTGAAAATGCGTGTTTGACATCAAAATGGTATGAATCGGAAGATTTTGATAATTATAAAGAAATATTGATTAGAACTGATTCATTATTTCAGAAAAATAATAGTGGCACAAGATCCATTAAATCAAACAAAGGTGAAAAATATAATAAAATGATTGCTGATATTTGGTGAAATGGTATAAAACCTTATCTACCCCCCAAGGAAGGTGAAAAATGTCAGATAGTGACTGTTTCACAGGAAGAAGAAAAAGAAGGAGAAGGTTTAAAAAAATATACAGAAATTCCTATTGAGTATAAATATATACATAATTTAAGTGAATTATTAAAGAGATTATATTTTATTGCTAGTGAAGAAAAAGCAGGAAATAATAATTTTCATAATGAAAAATTGATATTGTACATTTTTTTAGTTCTGAGTTGGAAAGATTAGCTAGTACTCCACAAGGGATTGAATATTTAATATCTTATGTAACAAGTTTGCCTGAAAAATTTGTAGAAGGATCAGGTCTTATGAATAATCTTTTAAACAGTAAATTTATGCTTGAAATACATTGGCCTGGTTATAATTATCTTGGACCTTTTACTGATTTAGAAAAAAATAAGAAGCCAGTAAATAAACTAGATATGGCAGCAATGGAACATGATTATTTTTATAAAAAACATAAAGATATTAAAACAAGACATATTAGAGATAAAACTTTGGAAGATAAAGCATGGGGTAGGCTTTTAGCCCCAGATGCATCTATAGGTGAAAAAGCCACTGCTTATATCACCACAAATGCAATGAAAGCAAAAAGGTATTTTGGTATGAGTTTAATTTGATTTAATAACTTTTTTATTTCTATTAAATGAATTTGGATTTGAGTGATTTTCAAATAAAAAAGCTTGTAAAAGCTTATAAAAACAAAATTGATTTAGTTATTCAATTAAAGCATACACAGAATGGTAATGGAAAAAACAAATTTAATTTTACTGATAGACAAAATAATAAGTTATCTAAAGCTAAGAAAGATAAAAAAAGGGGTGAGATTAAAAATTAAAAATCTCAATTTGAAGATAAAGATAAAGTAGGTGGTTTTTTACCTCTTATCATAGCAGGTATAGGTGCTCTTAGTGCATTAGCAGGAGGTGCTAGTGCTATTGATGCTATTGATGCAAAAGATAAGAAACTAAAACGAGATAAGACAGAAAGACATAATAAAATGATGGAAGAAAATGTTCCATTATTTATGTTCTTAAAATACAAGAAGAAGATAGTTTTTTAAATGTTAAAAAAGCAACATTTGAAATTTCTGGTAAATTTTTGCAGGCTGATAGTACTAGCTATCCTAAAGGTTCCAATGTAATATTAGTTGACAATTTTCCTGGATTTTTGTTTGACTCAATTTGTGTTAAAAAACATTGTAAAGAATTAGATAGAATTGATAATGTTGGTAGAGCTAGTTTGATTAAATGTACAATTAGTTATTCTGCAGATCTTAGTGGACCAACAACAGATAGTGGATTTCAATCAAAATTTAGTGGTGGTGGTAATTTTAGTGCTATTGGTAACTTGTCTAATTTGTGTTTAGGGTTTTTTAAAGATATAGAATACCCAGTATATAGAGGAGGTTTTGAAATATAATAATTTTTGTAAGACGTACTGACGATGATGCTTTATTTAGAGACAAAAATGATAAAACAAATGAGGTGCCTGAAACTGGAAAAGTTGTTATTGAAGAATTACTTATTAGCATACCAATTGTGACTTATAAAGATGCGTATAAATTTAAATTGATAAATGATTTAGTTTCATTGTCCAAGAGAAATGAATATACATTTAGATTCAAACCATGGCAGGGTATTGAAGAAATTAATATTACTACTGGTAAAACACTACACAAAGATATAACAAATATATATACAAATATCCATAATCCTTTATTTGTTATCGTAGCTTTTCAAACAGATAGATTAAATAATCAATTGAGAGACCCAATAGAGTTAAGTAATTGTAATTTGAAAAATATTTGGTTGGATATTAATGGTATGAGGTATCCAGAACGACTATTAGACTTAGATTTTAAAAAAGGAAAATTTAATAGAGCTTATCGTATGTTAATGAGTTATAAAAATGTTTATAATAGAGTACATAGAGATTTATCTTTAATGTATAAAACTCCAGAGGAATTTAAAAATATCAGACCATTTTTTGTAATTGATATAAGCAGGCAACCATCACCAATTTCTGGATCTAAATCAAGAATTATCTTACATGCAGATTTCGATGAAAATGTGCCAGCTAATACCAATTGTTATATTTGTTTAGTATCTGGTACAGAATTTTTTTATGATCTTACCAATAATACAATTAGAGAAAATATATAAAATATATAGATCTTAAATAAATGGACTATTGCAAAAATGATGTGAGTCGGTCTGATGTGAGACAATTTGGTCGGTCCCGTGAGTGTCCTCTATTCAGAGGTTTTACTGTACCACCTTTTTCATAAGTACAAATAATAAGTAAATAAATGAGCTTTTACAGACTTATGTTTAAATAACCATTTCTTAATAAGACCAAAAACAGATTTCTTTGTACTATCTATAAAATCCGGTATATTTTTAATTCCAGTTTTATTACCAATTTCAAATTGAGTATGTCTACTTTTAAAATTTTCTTCGTAAAATGTAGGCTTATAAATAGATTGTTCCTTACTGATTTGCTCTATTATATCTTCATGAAATTTAAATGGAAATCCAGTTAACCAATAATTTTTTTCTTCGTCAGTTAATTTAAAAATAATCTCTAATCTACTGTCATTATATGATGAATGCTTTATTTTTCCAATTAAAATACTATACAATCCTTCCAATTCTGAGTAGCAATTTTCTTTCCATATTGTATGCAAAATGTATAGTTTCTTAAAAAATGTTTTATTAATATAGTTTATTGACGAAGTAATTTTTTAAAATAGAAATTTTTATTTTTAAAATAGAAATTTTTGATTTTATTTAATAAGTAAATTTTTTAATAACAAAAATTATTCTTGAGGAATATTCTCTT